ATTTTGGCTATTGTAAAGAGTGCTGCAATGAACAAACAAGTGCAGATGTTACTCTGACTATACTTTTTTGCCTCGCCGGGATATATTCCCGGGAGTGGTGTTGCTGAGTCAAGTGGGAGCTCAATTTCTAATTTTTGGAGACTCATCCATACTGTTTTCCAAAAGGGCTGAACCAGTCGGCATTCCCACCAGTCAGCAGTCCCTTTATCGCCACATCCATGCCAACACCAGTTGCTTTTGTTCTTTTGGATGTGGGCCAGTCAGAACTTTTAAATATCATTGTTTGATTGTATTTGGAGAAAGGTGGGGAATTGGGGCCACACCTGGTGGTCCTCAGTGTGAGGGGTGGGTGTGGGCATATGCAGTGCTAGGTATCAAGCCAGGGTTGGCAAGGTGAAAAGCAAGTACTTTAACCCTGTACTCTCTCTGCCCCTTCCCACTGGAACGCGTAGACTTGATTATTGTCTGGGATGGCATCTATGGGATGAAAAGTGAGTGACCCCAGATATCAAAAGACCTGAGTTCCAGTCCCAATTCTACAATTAGCTATAATGGCCCTCCTCCATACAGGAGGGCCCAGTTCTTTGTCAACTAGGGAGATTTAAAAATTCATAATAAATATTTACCTTCAGAATTTTGGACCAAGAAACTTTCTATCTCAGAAATTTCTTGTGATAAATTATTTCTTGTCATAAAAACTTCAAATTTTCTTCAAACGCCTTCCTCATTATTAAAGATAGCTGGAAATGTCTAGACAAACAGAATATTAAAACTTCATGGCCTTGACAAAGAGCTGTAGCTTACCAGGAATATTTAAACATAGGAAAAGACCAGAGAACATTACTTGATAGGATTCAGATAGCCAATCAAGGCTAAAATTATACCACCATGTGTCAAAGTTGCCAATTAAAATTTTGCTTCCAAAACTTCTTTCAACAGACTTGCGGGATTTAACGTATCTAATTTTTATTTCTAAGAATGACTCGAGTTTGCCTCAGCCAGGCAATGCACTTACGGTCTGGCCACGGTTACAGGCAAGACAGAGCTGGTAACCACTTCTATCCTCCATGCTCCTGTCCCATGTCCCTTAATTCTGCGTATTGGTGTTTCTCGCTCATTTTCTATTTCATAAAAATGGAAAACCAGTGACTCCAAGTTACTGCTTTTAAGCTTTATCATTGACAAAGGCAGTGCTTTTTCTCATTTCCTCAGATTATTTTTCCAAGAATCCTAATTTTTTTTTAAAACAAGAGCGATCTATTTATTAAGAAGTCTTTGGGGAAGGAGTTTCCGCATCCTCGGGGGGGCGGGGTCTTCCTCTGAGCCCCTGCAGCATCATTCTGGGATGGACAATGTTCTGGGAGGACAGTGGGGCACAGGAGCCCAATCATGGATCCAAAATCCATGGCCTTAAGGTCAAAATCCTGACCTTAAAAATAATTTCCCTCATCTATAGAATGAAGATAGTTTTGCTAACCTACAGATGTGTGGGGAGAAGTAAATATTACACAGTACAAGGCATCTGAGCGCTGGACCTACTTTTAGGACAGAGATCGCCTCTTTGAAAGAGGCAATAACATTAAACTTGGATTCAGAGCCAACTCTGTCACCTACTGTCCTACGCTCTTTGATCTCAGGTTTCATCTGCAAAATGAGTACAGAACTAAGAAGAATAAATATTTAGACAGAATAAAGCTAGAATAGCACCTGGCAGGAAGAACAGGCATTTGGTCCCTCTTTCTTCCAATTTGTGACATTGAGGCAAAAAAGGTCACCAAGAAACAGTTTTCAGTGCAACAATCAGCACCAAAAATTACTCAGTGAAGGCTACAAATGGAAAGGGGAAAAAATCTGGATTTCATCCCCATTAAGAAAGTCATAGGAAAAGTTTAATGAGTCAGGATTTTATTTTAAAAGCAAAGGACAGGGGGCTGGAGCAATAGCACAGTGGGTAGGATGTTTGCCTTGCACTTGGCCAACCTGGGTTCAATTCCCAGCATCCCATATGGTCCCCTGAGCACTGCCAGGGGTAATTAAAAAAAAAAAGTAAAGGACAGGGAAACATTAATATCTACTTAGGAGAGGTAGAATTTTGGGTAGAACTTAAAAAAATTTCAAATGTCAACACATAAATGAATAAAAGAGCACAGGCTCATTAAAAGAAAGTTTAAGAAAAAGCTGGGGAGATGGTACAGGGATTAAGGCGCTTGCCTTGCACTCTAGATCTAGCCCTGGTACTGCATATGCCCTGGATGCTGCCAAGAGTGTCCGGAGCACTGCTGGGTGTGGCCTCCAAATCCCCTTACCCCCCAAAGCAAACTTAAGGTAAAACTATTGGGTTTTGCCAACTCCATAACTTAGGAAGTACCTTGAGAACTGTAGACTCTATAGAGAGCTTCAGTTATTCAAATCCTTGAAACATCAATTGGGAAATACATGGGGAAACCCTAGAAGAAATGAAACAGGTGCAGAGGAGGCCTGGCCTTGAGAACTTACCATCTACAATGGAGGCTGGCGTGAGGCACAAGGGTAGTGGACACCAGCAAGGGGGAGTCCTTCCAAGGGAGACAGCCAGCCTGGCAAAGAACAGCTGGGTTTCACAAGCATTCATGCACTGGAGGACGTCAGGCAGAGAGCCGGCATAAACGAAGGATTAACGTCACACAGCTTCCTGGAACCAGTCACTCGGGAGGGCAGGCAGAAGGTAATGTTGGAAAAGCATGAGACAAGGCAGGGCTGGGAATGAGGCAAGGCATGTGCGAGGCCCTGGGTTCACCTGAGCACTGCTCATGTGTGTGCCCTGGCAGCCCCCGAGCACTGCAGAGTGTGGCCCCTACAATAATGACACAGTTAAAGCTTTACAAAGGGTCTTGAGAGCCAAACCAAGAAATAGAATTCTATCCTAAAAAGTGACAGGGACAGTCCATTTGGCGTCTCCAGTACATGTCAGAAACCCGTATTTCAAAAGAAAGATCACTATTTCTGTTCTTTTTGTTCTCCGCTGGCTGTCAAACACAGATCCCATGAACCATGGAAAGGTCTTTGCCAGGTCTTCAAAGAAGGGTCCTTGAAGATCCTCCCTGGGTTATAGTTAGTAATTTTTTTTTGCATTTTTATTTACTTTATTTATTTATTTATTTATTTATTTTTTATTAGTGAAACACCATGAGGTACAGTTGCAGACTTACAAATTTTTGTGCTTGGGTTTCAGTTATACAAAGCTCAAGTACCCGTCCCTCCACCAGTGCCCACTTATTTTATTTCTTAAAGGTTTTATTATTGAATCACTGTGATATAGACCCTTACAAAGCTGTTCATAACTAGGTTTCAGTCAGTGTCCCAACCCTTGGCAGCCTGCCTCTATGGCTCTCTCTCTCTCTCTCTCTCTCTCTCTCTCTCTCTCTCTTTCTCTCTCTCTCTCTGTGTCTCTCATACTGAAAGTTTATCCAGTAGTTTATATCTAGTATTGACTAATGTCTGAGAACCATGGCAGGTATCAGAAGTAGAGGCTTGACATGACCCCTCCCAGACACCCCTTCCACCGGAAATAAAGACCCAGGCTACCCATCCACAGGACCCCTCCATACTCAACCCTCTTCTCCCTGGTGTGGAGCTCCTTATGACACTCATGGGCCAAGGAGCTGGGGGCACTAGATCAAGTTTCTGTTCCCATTCCACACACCCCGCCTTCCCAGCACTGTTCCACTTGAGTGCCATGGAGGAAAAACGAAGAGCAGGCATGACTGTACTCTTTATAGCATAACCCATCAACCCATTCCCGGACCGCAGAGCAGTTTGAGGTCTATAAAGACCAAGACTACAATCTATAAAAAAGAGACTGGCTTTGATTACTGGTTTATAAATTTTTAAGAAATAATACTTCTTAAAAGTCCTTTAAGGACATGAAGAATGCAATGAAGGCACAGCAGACTAGTTGCAGTGTGGTAGGCGGTGGGGGGGTGGCATATTTTTACCACCATCATGCAAGCAGCCCCAGGGCATCTTTTGTCAGCCTGGAGTTTGGTGGGACAGAGAACATGTGTTCTAGAAATGTTCTAGAAACAGTGAACCTGCAAATCCCTAGGGTTCTGCCTTCTTCAAGGCTCAGGTTCAATGCCCAGTGGAAAGGTTATTGTGTGTGTTCAAAGTCTACATTTCCACCAAGCAAAGTACCAGAACATCTTGATGTCTGTCATATTTGGACGAGAGAAGAGTCAAGACTTAGCCCCAACCCATGAGGCTATATTTAAGCCTTAACATTCCCCTCATCCTTCTCACACTCAGGTGAGTCTATTCCCTGTCTCAACCTCCTTAGGACTCAGGAATTACAAACACTGCTCCTTAGCTAGGTGAAATCGTGCTTGTCACCGAAATTATACCATCAGTTAATCCATTTGGGTAAAGTACTTGCCAGTTCCCCAAAAAGGCAGCATTCACCCTACACATTCATGGGTTAGCAGACCCGATCCTCCTCATGACAAGCAGGAAAAAAAATTACACAGTTGGGGCCAGAGCAATAGTACAGCAGGTAAGGCATTTGCCTTGCATGTGGCCGACCCAGATTTGATTCTCAGCATTCCACATGCTCCCCAGAGCACCGCCAGAAGTAATTCATGAGTGCAGAGCTAGGAGTTACCCCTGAGCATTGCTGGGTGTGACCCAAAAAAAAAAGTTACATTGTTGGTACCAGAGGTAGATGCAGTAACTTCAGCAGAAGATGACAATCCCCATCCTCACTGCCACCTTCCCTTGATCGCTACCTATGTCCATCTTTGCCCTCCCATCCCCAGGCCACCTTTAATCATGAAGCAGAGTCCCATTGGGATCCCAACTGGCCCAAATGGCTCAGTCTCCTCTTTAGGCACCAGGAAGCTTGGCTCTTCATCCCTCGCAAGTTATTTAGGTCCTCTGTACTGACAAAACCCCGCAGTTCTGAGCCATAAGGAAGCACAAAGAGCCTCTCCTTCCCTGGAATGCAGCTGATTAAGGCTGGGGGCAGCCTGCGGGCACGTCAGTCCTTTGCCAAGCCTTCCTCCAGCCACTTTAAATAGCGCTCATCTCCTTGGTCCATGGTAAGACTGAAGACTTCTGGGATTTCAAAAGGATGCACCAACCTTTGGAAAGAACGCAGGATCTTAGGAGTGACTATGATTTGAATCAGTCCAGGCAGTTAAAACTCAACTGGCCAGTCTCAGTTGAGGCCTTCTGCAATCTGCTGTAGCCATCTGCCCAGCCTCCTGGCACACCATCCCCATCAGCCAACAATTGGGGAGTTGGGCCAGATGGCTGAAGGGTCTCACAAACTTGGGGTTTAAGTCTACCTCTTAATATTCTACAACCCTGACCAACTCACTAAATTTCTCCAAAGGCCTACAAAAGAAGAGATAAAAGCCCTCCTACCTGATAAAGTTGTGGATAATTAAAGGAGGCACGGTATATAAAACGGAGTGCATTGACAAATGTTCCTTTCTCTAGAACTATGCTATTTCCATCACTGTGTGTTTCCCCAGACAGCTTCCTTCCTCCGCAGTAACTCTCAGTTCTCACTACCTAGAAAGATCTACCTGCTCCTGGTGTTGAAAATCCAAAGCCAATATGAACCTCGAGGCCCAGCTCAATCACTGAACTTGTCCAAAGGGCTTTCCTTCCGCGCACTTAGGAATCTCTTCCTTTTCTTCTCTATTCCTTTCACCTGGAGCTCAGCATACAACAGAAGTTATCATCACTTTCTATGCTGAGGAAAGAAATACGAAGCCTTGGGCTCACTTTGCTTTTGTGCTATTGCTCTAGCCCCAAGACAAGCATCTTAACCCCTGTACTATCTCTCGACCCAGAAAACACCATTTTAACTTACAAATCTAAGTAACCACAATTTGTCATTTTTACAAATTATGGTCATGAAAGTTTATTATTAGGGGTATGTGGTTCCTCAAATACAAATAGTGTGTCCCTCACTCAAGATAATTCACGTGATTTGTTACCAATTTAAAACTTATGTTTTTGAGCAAAACATTAAAACTTGACTTTATCACAGCACAAGCTTAAAAGTGTTCCAAAACTTAGAGATAATTTTGAAGATATCTAGTACTTTTATTGAGCCATATTTTGCAAAAACATAAATAACAAAAACCAAAACCAAAAAACCACCATTATCCTCACAATATTTTTTGTAATTTTTGGAAGTTATTATTTATCCTAATACATAATGGCTTTTATTGTTATTTTAAATAAACTGGAATATTAAAAAATTTTAACATACTAAATAGAATGCAATACAATATACTAATGTAACATACAAAAGTTTAATACAGCAAAAAAACCCACAAAGCTCTCTGGGTCCTTAATAATCTTTAAATGTGTTTGTGTGTCTGAGGTACTGGGTTCAGTTCCTAAGCCTACATGCACCACCTACCCCAAAGCACCCCCCTCATCTTCCCTAACCCTGAAGCATCGCAGAATGAAATGCCTATCTCTGGAGCATCACTGGGTGTGGCCCCTGCATACCAGGGCATCAACAAAAGTGTAAAGGGAGCCTGAGTCCAAAATTTTGAGGACTGGCTTAAATGAACTTGCCTCTCGTTCTACAGATAGAGATGAAGGGACAAGGACAGACCCAGGTCTCTTGGTTTCCAAGCTCTCTTAGCTCCCCTCGGGATGGATGCCAGCATTACCTGATGTAGTCGGACAGCGTGTGAACCTTGGAAGTCTTTGTCTTTATTAACTGGAAAAAGAAAATCACTGCTTTAGGAACTCAGCCCCACTTCTACAGATGCTTACTCATCTGGACACTAAGCTGGCATTCCTTCCACATCATCAGCCATGATAAAAACTCATAAATGAACGAAGCACACCTATGTGGGGCAAGAACCTTAATCAGTTGATATTTGTTCATTTTTGGTTTTGTTTTTGTTTATTTGGGGGGGGTGGAGGGCCACACTCAGCAGAGCTCAGGGGCTACTCTTGGCTCTGCACTAAGGGATCACTCCTAATGAAGCTCGAGGAACCATATGTGGTGCTGGGGATCGAAACTGGGTTGGCTGCATGCAAGGCAAGCACCCTACCTACTGTACTATCTCTCCAGTATAATGTTTGCTCATTTTCATTTGGGACTGGAAAAAAAGACTGCTTGGTCTCACTCTCTCCCTATCAAGACCCCCTCCCCCATGCCCTCACTTACCAGCAGATTCTCAGTGGATTCTTCTATCTCTCCATTCCAAAAGTACCTGGTGAAGAGAAAATCAAATTACAATCCCTTCACAAGACAAACCCAGTAAAATGCCAAACCTGGCTCAACTTGGTGACTGTCCTGAGGTAGGAACTAAAACCTTTCTAAGTCAGAGTCCAGAGATGGCCAAGGCCTCACAAGCCATCCATCCAACAACTCTACTGCATGCTAACATTTCTGGAGGTCAGAGGCTCACCATCTCCCAACAGCCACAGGAAGACTCAGCCCCAGGGCAGCCCTGGGGAAATGCCTCGGTCTCCTCTCTTCTGAACTGGGCATCGCCGATTCTTTCATTGCTCGCTGTAAACTTATGGTTTTCAGGCCTTTCCCCATCCTTTCAACTGGTCCTACAGAAACACATGCATTTTTAAAGCACAAGAAGGGCCAAAGAGAGTACATGAAATACTCATGAAATACTTGCCTTGCGTGCAACCCAGGGAACTATAAACCTTGCTCCGATTCTTGGCACCACACGATGCTTTGAGTCCTGCCAGGGGTCAGTCCTCAGCACAGTCAGAAATAGCCCCTGAGCACCACTGGGTGTGTACCCAACAAGTCTACCCTCGCCCCCACTCCCCTCCCCATGACAGGAAAATAAGGACAGGAAGCCTCAGAGAAGAAATGGTTGGCATTAGAAGACATGAAACAGGTACAAAAGATACAAACAAAGCCAGCAGGTAGAGCTCAAAGGGCTAAAGTGCAAGCTTTGTATGTGGAACCATAAATTCAAATCTCTGGTGCCATCTGGTCCTCAAAGTAGTGCTGGAAATGGACCCTGAGCTCGATTATGTATGGATTTCTCCCTCCCCCACAAAAAAAAAAATAGGGGAAAAAAAATCACACAAGTGATTGCTCCTTCACTCTCAAGTAATAAAAGGTGCCGGAGAGATAGCACAGTGGCTAGGGCACTTGCCTAGCAGATCCAGTCCCCAGCATCCCATACGGTCCTTTGAGCACTGCTAGGAGTGATTACTGAGTGCAGAGCCAGGAATGACACCTGAGCATTGCTGGGTGTGGCCCCAAAACCAAAATAAGCAAATAGCACAGCGGTAGGGCGTTCGCCTTACAAGTGGCCAACATGGCCGACCCAAGTTCGATTCCTCCGCCCCTCTCGGAGAGCCCGGCAAGCTACCGAGAGTATCTCGCCCGCACGGCAGAGCCCGGCAAGCTCCCCGTGATGTATTCGATATGCCAAACACAGTAACAACAAAGTCTCCAATGGAGACGTTACTGGGCCCGCTCGAGCAAAGCAAATAATTAAAAAAGAATAAAACAACAAAAATGCAAATCCAGTGATAATACTCAGCAAAGAACATGAATATGAGAACAGTATCATGGGAATGGAAAGAAATTTGGCTTGAGAATATTTATCTACAGTGATCCAGGACTATGGTTAAAAAAAAAATCTATTGTAAGGAAAGATGGACACATAAGTTGAAATTCTATTTTAGTGTCCAAGCACTGGTTCCCAGACTGGCTTCATGGGAGTCACCTATGAAAACTGAAAAATTCAGAGACCCATGAAACTGAACCCGCCCAGGGACTGAAGAGATTGAGAATGGAGCTCAGGCATCCAATGCACTGTTAGACTGGGGAGCCACAGCTACAGACCATGTGAAGTCATTGAGGGAATGACAGCATGGGTGGAGGGGAGGAAGCGTTCATCTACAGCACTTGGATGTTTTGAACTCTAGAGTCGAACTTATTGACTTTCTTTAAATATAAGTCAACAATGAACAGTTGATTCAGTAAAGGCCATTGAGATGTTCACAATTGCACATGAGCTCACCGTTCTTTCTTAGTGCTAGACCGGCCCCAGTACTCTTACTTTAGCATGTAAAACTCACAGTGAGGCTGTCTTGGGCAGGATGTTCACAGAGGTAGCCAGCTTCTTATCCAGGACAGCCCTAAGGTGGAGAGAGAGTAATAATCACGGAGGCCAGTATTTTGGCTCTAAAGAGAAGGGACAGAGAGCAGGGGCTCCTCAGGAGTTACCAGAAAATATCTGAGTTCAAGTAGATAACCATTAGAGTACTCATCCCCTACTTAACCCAATATATCCCAAAACATTCATCCAGTGAGAAGGTTAAGACAGAACTTTTTCTGGGCAAAAATGAAGACCTGAATCCCTCTCCCAGTCTTACAGAATGGTAGAGTAACTGTATGTGAGTTTTTTTCATTGCTGAGTAATTGTTTAAGCATCTCTCTAGGAGAGGCATAGCACTACCCTCTCTCAGCCTGACTGGTCTTCTATACAAAAGAGGGCTTGTTGAATCAGTGATTTTCAACCCCTTTTACCTTTTATTACACCACTTTTTCCTGCTTTTTGTTGTTATTGTTCTTTTGGGGGTGGAGGGCACACCCGGTGGTGCTCAGGGCTTACTCATAGCTCTGCACTCAGGGATCATTCCTGGCAGTACTATGGGATGCCAGGAATTGAACCCAGGTTGGCCATGTGTATGGTTTGTTACACATTGTATTATAACTCTAGCCTCCAACTTTCTCCTGCTTTTATGATTCAACTATATATATCTGATTATCAGTACTTCTGATCTCCAGATAGCTACCCACAGAACTGATAGTTCTGACCACAGAACTGATCTAATGCAAGTAAAAAAAATAATAAATATATAAACAGCAACATACCCTGTGTTTGTCTTTGGCAAATATAGAATCATTCACCCTTTATTTCCATAAAGATTTCTAATCAGGCCCTAGAGCAAAATGATTAGATTTGCAGGGCTAGGAACTTTTATGACATACCACTGGCTGGATTTCCTACACTGTCACTGATTTCTTATGCAGTACACTGATGAACACAAATTACCTTTTACCTTTTAGTATAAGTGTCACAGAAACAAAAGTACCAAGCCATAGATGCAAAAAATGTATTCCAAAGCATCAAACTGGAAGCCCTCAGCATCATGCAGACAAACCTTTTCCAGGTCTCAGACAGTCAAAGCAGCCACGCTCTATTCTTTGAAGTGCTTGAACCTGCCAAATGAAGTCCTGCTCCTGGACCCTCCCGACCTCAACTGCTGCCAAGAGGACTGACCTACTTTCCCTCCCCTTAAGTCCCAAGCTGAACAGAGCCCTATTTAAGGCTCCACATTAATGTGGCATTACCACCACCCTCATTCCTTTGGAAAATTCCAGGAGCAAAACAAATCCCTGATTGTAAGAAGGAGCACATGGCACAAATTTGTTTAAACAACTGCTACTAATTTTGCTCATTTAATCACCCACTGAGAAATCACATTTTCTGATTCTGAAGGTGAATACAAACATATGGAATGAATTAGACTCTAGGAAAAACATGATCCCAAGGGCGAGGAATATGGTGTGAGTGGTAGAGCACATGCCTTCGAAATGCTCAGCCCTAGGTTCATCCCCCAGCTCCACATGGCCCACCCATCACCACCCACAATAGAAAATGATAGAAATTCCATGGCCTCGGGAGGACTGGTCAGTGGTTGGAAGCTTGCCACAAGTGTTGGGGGGCAATGGGCAATGAGGATAGAAAAGTGACCAGTATGACAAATAACAGTTATAAATGATCACTCTGGACAAGGCCTGGGTGCTTAAAGTAGGTAAAGGAATATATATGATAACCTTTCAGTATCTGTATTGCATACCATAATGCCCAAAAGGGGCAAGGGAGAGGGAGAGAGGGGAGAGAAAGGGGGAGAGAAAAAAGAGGGAGAGAGGGAGGGGGGCAAGAGAGAGAGATTTGTTTTTCTGGCCACATATCTGGTGGTGCTCAGAGGCCAGACCTGGCAGACCATGCTTAAGGCTGAAGCAATAGTGCAGGGGGTAATGTGCCTTGCCTTCGTTAGATCCTTTGCACTGCAGTTGGTCCCCTGAGAAATATCAGGATGATCCCTGGGCACAGAGCTAGAAGTAAGCCCTGAGCACAGCTGGCTGTGACCTAAAAGTTCAAACACTTCTCCCCTCGCCCCCAAAACAAAAGATACAACCTAGATGGAGGAAGGAAAGAGGGGTCAAATACAGATTACCCTGAAACCAATCATTTGGTGGCCTTGAGCTCGCAGAGGCCAGTTTCAACAAATGTCGGGGGCTGGAGTGATAGCACAACAGGTAGGGCATTTGCCTTGCATGTGGCCAACCCAGGTTCCCAGCATCCCACATGGTCCCCTGAGCACCGCCAGGAGTAATTCCTGAGTGCAGAGCCAGGTGTAACCCATGTGCATCGCCGGGTATGACCCCCCCCAAAAAAAATACTATCAACTAGGATTTCAAAAGTACTGAATTGTAGGGCAAAGGGAGGAAGGAGCTAAGTCCAATTACCCTTTAGTCCCAATAACCTTTTTCAGTGTGGCTTCTATAAAGTGCAGAGGGAAGGGGAAATCCAGGCACATGTATTGAGGACTTATGGTCTGTAACTCATCTACATATGAGTTTCTAAGGTAAATTCATCCTCACAATACTGTAAGGTAGGTAGTATTATCCACTTTCATAGTTCAGAAAACTAATGCTTAAAGAAGAAAAGCAATGTTCCCTGGGTCACACAGTAATTAAATAGCACAGCCAAGATTCTTCCTGGTCTGATCCAAGGCCAAAGTTCTTTCTATCATACTATAGCTTTCCAAAATTTGCCAAACAATGGCTTTAACTTCCTCACTTGTCATAGTGAGTACCTCTAGAACTGAACAAAGGAAGTGGTAGCTGAGTGAGGAATTAGGAGACTTAAATTCTCAACCTACAAGGTTCACCGTAGCACCTTCATGTGCTAAGTCACCTATTTCTCTGTCTCATTTCCTTCCATGCCCCTGATGCATCTTCAACACTTGCAGACCCAGCAGCAGGACCTGTTGGGACTGTCCCATCAACCCCAGCACAGTTGTGTAGTTTATTTCTTAGTGGATCTGGTTGTCAGAAGCAAGAGAGGACCTGCAAGTGGTACCCCCAACCCCCCTGCCATTACCCTTTGAGCCTCCTGGAGGAGCATCTGGGCTCCTTCACCATACCTTGCCATATCTCTAGCAATTTGCTCATTGGGACAGTTGACGAAGACGATGGAGTAAGTGCTGGATATATGGGTGCCAGTGAAAGCTGAATGGAGCTTCAGGCTAAGGGTCCTGAGTATGGGGTATGTCAGGAAAAAAGCTGCCATGATCTAAAAAGTAGAAAAAGAAAAACACAGGTCAGCAGAGATATTTCCAATTCACTTGGCAGACTGGGACAAGACTGGGCATAGTTTTTCCATCCCCAATACCCAACCACAAAACAATTCCTGGGTGTTCTCTCTCTCTCTCTCTCTCTCTCTCTCTCTCTCTCTCTCTCTCTCTCCTCTCTCCCTCTCTCTCTCTTTCTCCTCTCCCTCTCTCTCTCTCTTTCTCCTCTCTCCCTCTCTCTCTCTCCTCTCTCTCCCCCCCCCCGCCCTCTCTCTTAAAGGAAATAAAGAAATGGAAAAAAAAAGAAAAGAATTCCTGGGATCTGTCTGTATTGTGTTTAAATAAAATCTTCATACCTTGCTATTTTCCTCTGCATTTTGCAGATGATTTTTGTTTTAAAGGAGACTAAGAAATAAATTAAGAAACTTATTCAAAATTACATTAGGTTTTAGTCGGAAAAGCCAGGATTAGGTCTGGAGTCTGAATAGCAGAAATTCATTCTTTGTTGTTGGGCCACAGGAGTGGTGCTGGGGGCTATTTCTAGTGCAGTTTCTGGTGCTCAGGGGACCATGTGGTGTTTGGGATAAAATCCTGGGTTCCTACATGCAAAATATGCACTATAGATTTTTGAGCCTTCCCCCAGTCTTTGAAATCCAATATTCCTGTATAAAACCTGCTATACAAGGGCCAGGGATGCAGTTTAGTGTGAGACACTTGCCTTGCATATGTGAAGCACCACAAAACAAAACAAAACAAAAATCCAAAACAAACTGTTATGGGAGGTAGAGCTAATCACTATCCATTGAGCTGTTGAGATCCTGTGGAGATTATTATGGGTGATACACGAATATTTATTAAAGGGTAAGGGAGTATTTTCATGTTCATTCATTTGTATATATGCCATATACAATGGGTACAAGTTTAGGGACAAGTCTCCAAATTCTAAAGCTATTCAACCTGTGCTACTGAAACTAAGAGCTGATGGGGCCATGAGAAGGGCTCAACCAGGGAACAAGAAGGTATAACCTAAACTGGATCTCAACTAATAAGTAGGATACAAGAGTAAAGGCAGGTACTCTAAACAAAGGGTAACCCATACAGATTATGAGGCTGTAAGGACAGACGTGACATTCAGTCTACATAATGATCTTTATGTGCATGGCAACAAGAAAAAAGGAAAAGGAGATGAACTGGGTAGAATCATTAACAAGGGGTGCAGGGACCTGAGTAATGTCTTTATGTCTCCAGCTTCAATTTGACTTGGAGGCCTGTCTGATTTGAGATTCTCTTCCCTCCCACTACCTTCAGCAGTACTTCCGACTCAATATGCTAATCCTCTGAAGTAGACCAGTGCCCATGAAAGAAAAGGAAAGGAAAAAAAGACATATATATCTATATATACACATAGACACATATTTATATACATATATATAAATAACCAGGCTTTCCAATGTGCGTGCATGTGGTTTTGTCACAATTCACTTCTGAAAAAATAAAATCACTATAGAAATTAGGGTTTAAGTCGTGGTGCCAGTCCAACCCCATCAAAAAATGGGGCAACGAAATGAACAGAAAATTTCTCAAAGAAGAAATCCGAATGGCAAAAAAGCACATGAGAAAATGCTCTATATCATTAATCATCAGAGAGATGCAGATCAAAACCACAATGAGATACCATCTCACACCTCAGAGACTGGCCCACATCCAAAAGAACAAACGCAACCGATGCTGGCGCGGATGTGGCGAGAAAGGGACACTCCTTCACTGTTGGTGGGAATGTCGACTGGTTCAGCCCTTCTGGACAACAGTATGGACGATTCTCAAAAAATTAGAAATTGAACTCCCATTTGACCCAGCAATACCACTCCTGGGAATATATCCCAGAGAGGCAAAAATGTATAGTCGAAGTGACATCTGCACTTGTTTGTCACTGCAGCACTCTTTACAATAGCCAGAAACTGGAAGAAACCTGAGTGCCCAAGAACAGATGACTGGTTAAAGAAACTTTGGTACATCTACACAGTAGAGTACTATGTAGCTGTTAGAAAAGATGAAGTCATGAAATTTACATACAAGTGGTACAACATGGAAAGTATCATGCTAAGTGAAATGAGTCAGAAAGAGAGGGATAGACATAGAAAGATTGCATTCATCTGGGGGATATAAAGTAACAAAATATGAGATTAATACCCAAGAATAGCTGAGATCAGCACCAGGAGGATTACTCCATAGCTTAGAGGCCAGCCGGGCATTCTAGGGGAAAGGGCAGCTCAGATAGAGAAGGGAGCACCAAATAAAGGGTGTTTGGAGGATCCTCCCAGGAGGGGAGATGCATGTTGAAAGTAGACTATGGACTGAACATGTTTGCCACTCAATGCCTCTTTTGCAACAACACCCAAAAGGAGAGAGAGAACAGAAGGGAATGCCCTGCTTCAGAGGCAGGGTGGGATGGGGGGGATGGGGGTGAGAGGGATACTGGGATCCATGGTGGTGGGAAATGGGCACTGGTGGAGGGATGGGTATTTGATCATTGTATAATCGAAACCCAAGCACAAAAAATTGTAAATCTACAACTGTACCTCATGGTGTTTCACTAATAAAAATTTAAAAAAACCTGCCCTGAAGAGCTGAGGCCAATGAAGAGGCAAACTCAATCCCCTGTGTCTCCCCACATGCTGGGGTGCAATTAAATGTGCAACCTCTGCTCACCACAAGTCCCAAAACTAAAGAAAGCACCCACTGGCAAGTGTGGACAATCTCCTGTCATTAAAACAAGCAAGGGAAAGAAAGAAGAGGGGCACAAAGATACATACTTTTTAAAAAAAAAAAAAAAGAAGAGAGATAGTACAGTGAGTAGGGTGTTTGCCTTTGCATGTGGTCAACCTAGGTTCGATCCTCAGCACCCCATATGGTCCCCGAGTCCTTCAGGAGTGATCCCTGAGTACAGAACCAGGAGTAAGTCCTGAGCACCGCCAGATGTGGCCAAAAGAAAAAAAAAAAGGAAAAAGCAAAAGAAAACAAAATCTTTGAAGTAAGCAGGACTTTTGGGTCATGGGCCATCAGTGGTGCTTTAAGCAGGGAACTGAATACACTTGGACTAAACAAAGGAGCAGGGACCTTTCCTGCAACCAATTAAGCTATTCCTAGGCAAGCTCTGGGACATTTCAGCCAGCGGCTACTACTGGAACACAGAGTTAATGAGATTAAACGTAAATCCACCTAAAGCATACTGAAACTCTTAAATGAACTCACTTCCCTCCACCGTTGCCCCGTCCCATTTGCCTCCCTACCACCTGTCTGCTTCAATGGAATATATTTATTCATAGGTAACACTTTACCATCTTTTGTGTTCCCAAATTTAAGTCGTCTATTTGATTCTTTAATAAACTCAACAAAATCCAAGTTTGTTTTCAGTTAACAGTCGTGGCTAGAGACCAGGATTACTGCTAAACAAGCTTCTGTTATAATCCCTGAACACTTTTAAATATAGGCAGTTGCTTCTATATGGACATGAGTTGCCTCAATGGACATGAGTTCTTTGGTCTCACTCATTTCTCTAATTCCCAGCACTTTCCATTCCCCTGGACTTGATGCTGTTAGTTTTTCAGACCATAATCTGTGGCACTCAGGGGCAACTCCTGGCATAGTGCTCAGAGATCAAACCTGGGTCTCCAGCATGCAAAGCATGTGCTCAGTCCATTGAGCTATCTCTTCGGCCCTTCTGGCTTGAGAAGAGTTTATGTCAACAAAGTACCAGCAGCAGAAAGGGCTGATATGGAGGCAAAGGTGAATTGTACTAAACGAGGAAGTATTCTTTTATGAATGCATAATCAACAGGAAATGTACATGATCCCTATATCAAACATCATAAAGGGAAGTGTGTACAATAATTTTAAAAACTCTTTACCACATTTTTGTTATATTTCTTTTACTATATATATATATGCCTTTTCTAATTTTATATTCTTCTAAAATATTTTGGGGACTGGGGGGATATTTCAGAGAGCTGGAGCACATGTTTTGCATGCAGGAGCCCTAGTTTGATCTCTGGCACTGCATGGATCTGTGAGGATCATACAGCTCCCGCCACAAATATGTTTTTAATCCTTTCATCTTGTTCAGAACTTACTCTGCTTTTATCTATTTTTTTAACCTTGGAATATTTGCACAGCCTTTGTGGGTTTTGGTTGACTTTACAGTGTGTTAAGGCAGAAAGGGACTCAAAAAAATCACCCAGTTTTTCTTAATTTGTCATCTGGTTTTAAGGAATCTGAACTCTCTGAAATTTTGAGTCTGTCCACACATTTTTCCTTGATGGGTGGAAAACCAGAACTTTCAAAAAAGTTTATAATCCCCAAAAGATTAAAAGTCACTAATTTGTGCCAATTACCACCCAAGGGGGAAAGTAAGGACTAGAGAAGGAAATAAATGCCCAGCAGGTGATCAGTGAGCCCCTGGGTTTCTGAACACACTCCCACCTTTCCCTTTCCACCTACTACAAGTGGAAGCACCCCGTGTAGTCACTTCCAACCTTCGCATTTCAGAAATCAGAACAAAAAAATCTCAGAGAACACAGAAAAAAAGGAGATGATATCTGCAATAGGAAGAGGGGAAAGTATTCATTACGCGGTTCTTTTTAGATGAGAACTCCCCAGCTGATACGGCTCCCCACTTCTGGCAAGGAAACAAAGGCTGTTAACCCCTTCTCATATGACCAGGATAGATTTCAAATCTTGAGAATCACCGCACACAATAACCACAGGGACTTAAGGGATCATCCTCTACCTGCCTGCCCCGGCTCAAATTCTCAGAGCCAGTAAAGAGAAAGGTCCCTTCTGCCTTCAGCCCCCAGGTTGGAGGTTTTAGGGTCAAGGCGGTCGCAGGTATAGAGAATGGGGCACTCACCAAAAGGCACGTAAGGACACCCGGCCTCGGGTAGCCTGGCAGAGAGCACCGTGAGCTCCTCCTGTCCATAGCGTTGCCGGCAACTGAGCAGGGCAAACTCAGCAGCAGCCCAGGAAGACTTGCCGGATAGTGGGCGGGCACTAAGGGACTAAACTGTTCTCTCCCACAACCACCTGCTGCCGACCGCACAGTCCAGCCCGGTTGGCGAATTATAATGTAGGGGGCGGGGAAAGAGGCGGGAATTTTCACTGAGCACACCCCCCTCCCTGTGTAACATTCCCCCCCCCTCCCCCGGCACCACGTGCATCTTTAAAGTAATACTCTTTCTCTAGGACGATCCTATCAACTAGTGAAGCACTAGATTCTGGGCTGCCTCCCCTTCCTGTGCCAATCAACATCCCTTTCTCCCAGTCTCCTTTCTAACCTTCTTGGCTCAGAATGCTTCTTCCTGACTGCTCTTCCAGCCAACTAACTCATCCCTTTTTCAGGCCAACTGCTCTATTTAGTTCTCTGTTCCCCTAAAGTACCCTACACTCTTCTGTTGAACACCAATTGTTCCAATTGGTTAAGAAAATCAAATCATTTGCTTGCAGCAAATAAGAAAAGCAGCAGTGACTTGCACTTTGGGAAAGTCACCAAGGTTTCCAGCTTTGAAATTGGAAATATCCTGATTTTTATTTTTGTTTTTGGGCCACACCCAGCGATGTTCAGGAGCTACTCTTGGCTCCGCACTGCGGAATCACTCCTGGTAGTCTCTGGGAACTATATGGAATCCTTGGGATCAAACTTCATGGACCACATGCAAGGCAAGCACCTCACCTGCCATACTACTGCTCCGGACCCACAAAATATCCTGATTCTTAAATAACATTCCTGGGACAGGGTAAGAGATTGAATGCACTAAGATGCTAAACAAACTTTTTAAAAAATAGTAATTGTTCTATATTTTGATTGTGGTGTTGGTTATACAAGTGTTTAAAAAAATATTTAAAAGGCTATAAATTAGCAGATAGTACCTTAAAAGGGGAAGGGGAACACTGGATAACAATCAAAATGATTTTAAAGGATTTGGATCAAACAAAACACATGTTTGCTTGCTCTGGCCTTCAGGTTGCAAGTTAATGGCCTCTAAGTTCAATTACCCGTTTACCTGTTTGTCTTACTACCTGGGATAATAAATTCTTAAAAACCTGATGTAGTTCCTTGCAAAGTGTCTTGCAAAGTGTTCGTAAGTCAGTTACAGCCCCTTATAGCACTAGACACAAGCAAATTATTCTGAGCTTTAGGGAGATTTTGATCAAGGACATGCTAATAGCTCCTTCATAGGTATAAAAAGCATTAACAGATTAATATGAGTGCTTTATGAAATAGAGAACAATGTCAGCATTTCAACACCAAAAACAGAGATTATCCAGAGAATATCCATTTGTGACTGAAAAGCTATTAATTTAAAAAAAAGACAACAGGGCTAAAGAAAATGGTGCTGAGTGATCCCAGGGAAACCTTTACATTCAAAGTCCACTAAAACAGTTATTTTACATACCTTACCTTAGATCCTGAGGTTTCCTCAAGTTTAGCATAGGCCACCAGTTTAAGCTCAGAAAATGCTGAATGAGTACATATCAGTCCGTGGGAATGATTATAAGGATAATCTAGGGAGGAGATGTTGGGCAACATAAAGATGGCAAGAGATAAACTGTGATTTGCAAGAAAATATGTCTAAAATCTCATTTAACTCAGAAACCTCTCCCCTCTCCAGATCTATTTCCATGGTTATATCCAAATGCCCAATTCTGCATTTATAACTGGTGGAAGCATCAGCTATAAAATCTCTGTAACCTTGCTTGAGAGTCTAGAGTCTTTTAGAAGCTAGCTTCGCCATTTTCAGTATCTTCTCTTCACAGTCAGACTCAGACTTTATTGACTTCTTCTTCACCCACATTTGTTACCTTCTGTTTAGGGCCACACCTGGCAGTGCTCAGCATTGAACCCTAATGCCATGGGGGACTTGAACTCGGGTTAGTCACACTGTAAGACAATCTCTTTACCTCCTGTTTTATCTCTCCAGTCACTTCTTTATTTTCTTTGCTTTACTTACTTTGAAGTGCATCTTTTGCACCTCTATAAATTACACAACTATTTAATTATTGTTTGGAGGTCATATTTGGTGGTGCTCAGGACTTACTTCTGGTTGGCCCAAGGGACCGACCAAATGGGGTGCCAGGATCTGACTTAGTCAGCTGCATTCCAGGCAAGCACACTATCCACTGTTCTATCTCTCCAACTTTGGCAACCACTTATTATAATCTTTTTTCAAAGGCCAAATCCTTTGATCCAGAAAAGGATCTCTATCAGATCACCAATGAAGTCAGAGGTCTAACTTAACAAAGCATTCAATTTCCTTAAATTAATTTTTTTTGCCTTTTTTTGGGTCTAACCCAGCAGTGCTCAGGAGTTACTCGTGGCTCACGCACTCAGGAATTACTCCTGGCAGTGCTTGGGGGACCATATGGGATGCCGGGGATCGAACCTGGGTTGGCTGTGTGCAAGGCAAACGCTCTACCTGCTGTACTATCACTCCGGTCCCTTAAATTCATTTTTAACTCTAATTCTGACTACTTTTAGTCTTCACCTATACACTTGTTATTCCCAAACATGAAAACTGGAGTGGCTCAGTGATTTCATTTTTAAGAATGTAAATGAATGGATCTTCCCAGGTAGCCTAGTCCCGGCTGAGAACTCTGAGGCCTTCTCAGAATAGGGGCAGGAAACATCGCCTTCCTGTTTAAAGGCAGAGCAACCCACAGTCATACCCAATACTCTCCAAAGCAGAAATGGCCCACCTTCACATCTAATCTAAAAAAAAAAAAAAAAAAAAAGACAAGCAGCTAAATCTTCCTAGGTGGGACCAGTCTACAGGCTGAAAACTCTGGGGTATTCTTAGAATGGGGGAGGGACAAAATCCCTAAACTGCAACCCCTCACCCACCACCCCCAAAATCCAGCAGCCCCAACTAAATCCAACAGCTTGTCTCAGAGAACTGGTCCAGTGTCTTATCTCAAAGAAACACAATACCACCAAACCTTCCCAGATAGACTGGTCTGGCTGAGAACTCTGGGGCCTACTCAGAATGGGGGAAGGAAGACCCCCCTTTCTGCCTGAAGGCACAGCAGCCCACATCCATAGGAGATACCCATGGACATAGAATTGCCCAGCTCCACAAACTGCCAAGCCACCAAATTGTTCCAGAGCTACAGTTTCTAAAAATTTCATAATATTGTCAACCCAATAGGATCAGAGAAAATCCAACTAGAAAGTTGCACAGAAGACCACCAAGCTCAATGAGCCTAAACAATAACACAGAAGACTCAACTAGCACTAAACAGCACAGATTCTCAATGACTTTCGTAACATCATTTTGGGATTTGACAATTATCATGAATTAACTCTTATTGATCTATGTTTTGATAATTCCATTTCCCTTTGTGTTATAACGAACAACATGAAGTAAATTTATTTGAGCCTGCCAGCTGGGTGGAAAGTCGAAAACTGGGAACATTAGTGGAGAAAATGGCACACCAGTGGTGGAATTGGTATTGGAACATTTAATGCCTGAAAAAACTATATTATAAATAACTTGGTAAATCGCAGTGTTCTATTTTTTTCTTTAAGACTGTAAAACCCCTCTGGTTTTTCAATTTCATGTTATCTTTAGGGTAACATAGATAATTGTTCACATTATCATCCCAAACTCTTCACCAGGTTTTCCAGCTGGATTTATATCATCTGTCATCTCTTTTATCATAACAAAAGAATTATAGATGCTTTAATGTTCTTTTGAAGAAAGGTTAGGCTTTTTTCAATAGTATGCTTTTCAACATACGCGTGGTATAATACTTCCTGGATATTACTTCCTGGATGCTTGTTATATCCTGGTCCATGGGCTAAAGCCAGTAAACTTCCCGAGGAAGAATTGCAATACCCAAGTTAGATTGAGCAAAAAATTATGAGTATGGGAAATAAGTCTGTCCAAAATCAGCAACACTCTAAAGTCAACGTTTTCCCCGTTAAATAAATCCTGGCTTAACGAATAAATCATGAAACCAATGCAAAGAGAGACATTCTTAAAGATAAGCTCTATCTTATTTCAAAAATACAAGTGGCATTAGGGTCTTTACTAAAAACAGTTTAATGGCTTTTATCATTTTGCCACTGGTGACACTGACACACGCAAAATGAGGGCAATACTGTCTTTATAGACCCTCTTTACAATTTTTGTCTTTTCACCCCCAAGTACTTCGCAAAAGTTTACTTTCAAAGTAGGATCATTTCCAAAATTTGTTAAGATACAGTCTCTTGCTCTGATCAGTTTCTGGAGTGACTTGAGGCATCTGGTTGCAACTTGGTATTTAACGGTTTTTATTCACCGCAATGGTGGTAGTGATTCCTAACGCTCTCAAAGCATCCTACCTTGCTTGTAACTTAGTGGGGTTGTCCCTGGGAGGGCGGCTGGATTTGGGTTTACACTCATTGCTTGTAAACACTTTTGGTCTGACTTGTAAGAGGCCTACCGCCTCAGAGAAGAGAGCTCCCTCGTTTCATCGTGGACCCCAAGTCCACCTCATCTCTGCCCCTTAGAGAGGAGGTGCCTGAGGAGGCTGTTTGCACCTCAGGGAGAGCAGACCTCGGGCCAGGTGGGGATTGGCGGGCCGTTTCTTGCCAGTCCCCCGTGGTCTTCTCAGTTTTTTTAGCTTGCGCATGGCTGAGTACTGGACAGTCCCAGTTTTGATTTCATCCTCCGGAGACAGGACCATCACTTCCACTTTTTTTTAAAAAAAGATAGCACAGGGCTGGAGCGATAGCACAGCGGGTAGGGCGTTTGCCTTACAAGCGGCCAACATGGCCGACCCGAGTTCGATTCCTCCGCCCCTCTCGGAGAGCCCGGCAAGCTACCGAGAGTATTCGATATGCCAGACACAGTAACAACAAAGTCTCCAATGGAGACGTTACTGGGCCCGCTGGAGCAAATCGACGATCAACGGGAGGGCCTTTATTGAATCACTGAGATAGTTACAAGCTTTCATATTTGGGTTAGGTTACAATCACACAATGATCAAACACCCATCCCTTCACCAGTGCACATTCCCCACCACCAATATCCCCGGTATACCCTGTCCCTTTCCCACCCTCCCCCCTGCCTCCAAGGCAGACAATATTTCCCATACTCTGGAGCCATAGCACAGCGGTAGGGCGGTTGCCTTGCGCACAACCGGCCAGGCTGATCTGGGTTCAATTCCTCCGCCCCTCTCAGAGAGCCCTGCAAGCTACCGAGAGTATCTCCCCCACACACAGCAAAGCCTGGCAAGCTACCATTGACGGATTCCATATGCCAAACACAGTAACAACAAGTCTCAGGGCTGGAGAGATAGCACAGCGGGTAGGGCATTTGCCTTGCACGCGGATGACCCAGGTTCGATTCCCAGCATCCCATATGGTCCCCTGAGCACCGCCAGGAGTAATTCCTGAGTGCAGAGCCAAGAGTAACCCCTGTGCATCGCCAGGTGTGACCCAAAAAGCAAAAAGCAAAAAAAAACCAATTTTCACTATGGAGACGTGACTGGGCCCACTTGAGCAAATCGAATAACGGAAGGACCATGACCGTGACTCTCTCTCTACTCTGGGGCATTATGGTTTGCAATGCAGATCCTGAGAGGTTATCCTGTGTGGTCCATTTTCTACTTTCAGCACACATCTCCCATGGCGACCTGTTCCTCCAGCCATCATTTTCTTAGTCACTTCCACTTTAAAACTGCCCCGCCCGGAAAGCAGGGCATCCAGCGCCTCCAGTGGCTCAGGCAGGTCTCCGCGCCGTCCCGCCACTCCTCTCGCGGGACACTGGCACCCACAGCTCGTCTGTGAGGGCGAATCCCGCTACGGAAGAAGCGCAGGACGACCCGCGCGACGACAGCCAAAGCGCAGCCACCCAGGGAGCCGCGACCCGCCAGTCTCGCGAGGCTTGAGCACGCCCGCCCGCTCGCGCGCACGCGCAAGCCCGCCTGGCTGGGGGAGGGGAGGGGGGGCGGTGCCGGAGGCGGGCCGCAGTCTCGCCGGAAAAAAAAAAAAACCGGCTCCCAGCAGGTCTCGCGAGGCTTGGGGGCGCGCGCCCCGGCCCGCGCCTCTCTCGGGCAGCCCGTGGCGGGAGGGCGCACGATGGCGGCGCAGGTGCTGGCCCTGCTGAGGGAGGTGTCGCGGCTGGAGGCGCCGCTGGAGGAGCTGCGCGCGCTCCACTCGGTGCTGCAGGCCGTGCCGCTCGGCGAGCTCCGCGAGCGGGCGGCCGACATGCGCCTGGGCCCGCTCTTCTCGCTGCTCAACGAGAACCACCGGTGAGTGGCCCCTGAACGGGGTGAACGGGGAGGCGGGGAAGGGCCGGACAGACACCCGACAGACGGACAGATACCCGACAGACGGGACAGAACACCCCCCAGCCGGACAGACCCCCCCCCAGCCTGACAGACACCCGACAGACGGACACCCCCCCCAGCCGGACAAACACCTCCCCAGCCTGACAGACACCCGACAGACGGACACCCCCCCCCCCGAGCCGGACAGGCACCCCCCCAGCCTGACAGACACCCGACAGACGGACACCCCCCCCCAAGCCGGACAGGCACCCCCCCAGCCTGACAGACACCCGACAGACGGACACCCCCCCCCGAGCCAGACAGACACCCCCCCAACCTGACAGACACCCCCCAGCCGGACAGACACCCGCCAGACGGACACCCCCCCAGCCGGACATACAACCCCCAGCCGGACAGACCCCCCCCAGCGGGACAGACACCCCCCTAGCCGGACAGACACCCCCCCAGCCTGACAGACACCCCCCAGCCGGACAGACACCCGCCAGACGGACAGACACCCCCAGGCCAGACAGACAGACACACCGGCCAGACGGACAGACAGCCTCCAGCCGCATAGACAGACACCCGCCAGACAGACACCCCCAGCCTGACAGACAGCCGCCAACGGGACAGACACCCCCAAGCATGGGATTCGAAGCACCCTGGGCTGAGACCCGAGACCGGGGTTCAAGCCCAGCCCCGTGGGCTGTGTCCCTGCTACCGCCCCCCCCCCCCCCACCTCGCCGCCCTCACCCCTAGGGTCAGAAGCGGGCAGCGGGGTCGCTCCCCTGCCGGTGGACAGATCTGTCCCGAGCGCCTTCTAGCCCGGCTACTACTCGTTTTAAAACTAACCCCGTGGGGCCTGGCGATTCCTGCTCCAAAGAGTTGATCCTGCTGGTTTGTACTCAAGAAACGCCCGACGATGACAAGGCATTTACTTACAAGGAAACTAGAAAGAACCAAACTATCCACCCAAGAAGAAAAAAAAAAAACAAACTACAGTGTCCTACCATGCAGCTTGCTTAACAAATGGAGGTAGAGTTCTGTGTGGAGGTGGAACGCCCTCAAGTATTTATTGAGAAAAGGGAAAGGTCGTCGGAGTTGAGGAGCCTATTAGGTGTAACTTTTAAAAGGATTTCAGCGCACCTCAGGGCTAGCGTGACACGGATTAGTGCAACCAGGCTGGAGGAGATAGTACAGTGGGCAGGGCTCTTGCCTGGCACATAGCTGGTGCCGGTTCCATCTCCAGCACCACTTAGGACCTCCGAGCCCCACCAGGAGTGATTCCTGAGCACATGGGCTGGGCACCCTCCAAAAAAAAGCTGTATTAACTTTTGCAGTAAATTATTCATGTGGATGTTAGAATGGAAGTAAGTGTGTGTGTTGTGTGTCTAGAATTGAATCCAGGGGACAACATGTGTGAGATGTGTCAGTGTGTGTGTGTGTGTCCAGAATTGAGCCCAGGGGACAACATGTGTGAGATGTACCAGAACTGAACCCAGGGTTTCACACATGTAAGATGCCTGCCTGCCCTTCATCTACATTCCCATCGCAACCCTACAACTTTTTGTTTTTTATGCACATCTTTAGGATTTCTTAAAAAAATTTTTTTTTCCTTGTTTTGGGGCCACAGTTGGCAGTGCTCAGTAACTCCTACTCAGGAGTTACTCCAGGTGGGGTGTCTGGAATCGAACCCCTGTTTACTGTTTGCAAGGCCTTAGCCACTGGACTATCTCTCCGGTCCCATATCCATAGGGTTTGAATAGGAAAAACTTCCATTTTGTTTATTTGGAGCGATAGCACAGTGGTAGGGCGTTTGCCTTGCACACAGCCAAGATGGCCAACCCGAGTTCGATTCCTCCGCCCCTCTCGGAGAGCCCTGCAAGCTACCGAGAGTATCTCGCCCGCACGGCAGAGCCTGGCAAGCTCACGTGACGTATTCGATATGCCAGACACAGTAACAACAAAGTCTCCAATGGAGACGTTACTGGGCCCGCTCGAGCAAATTGATGATCAATGGGAGGGCCTTTACTTACTTTACTTTGTTTATTTGGTAATTTTGAAGAGTTTAAAAGGGTTTGTGATGCAGAAATTTAAAAATGACCTTTCTACTTGAAATAGTCATGAATGTGGGTCAATATTGAGTGATCTCTAAGGGCCTTCTTGACTCTGACCCTTTTAAGATTTCTCCCTTTTGAGGGCCAGAAGGTAGCTGACCCAGGTTTGATCCCCGACACCTGTTTGGTCCCCTGTGCCTGCCAGGAGTGATCTCTGAGTACAAAGGCAGAAATAAGCTTTGAACACTACAGGGAGTAACCACAAAAAAATTATTTTTCTCTTTCATATTTGCTTTCCCTGCATTACTTAACATTACTTAGGTGTACCTGTGAAGTATATAAATTTGTCTCTTTATTTTCAGGTCCTCATTTTCTTTCTTGAATAAATCCATTGCATTATTCTGTCTTCTCATTATTAAAAAAAGGGGCTTGGGGGAGGCAGCACTATCTCTCATCCAAGGAGGTTTCTTTCAGCCACTTGATAATTCCACCGCACTTAAGCCAGGCTACTACCCAGCTGTTTTCTATCACTAGAAATGTTTTCTTTTTTCTTTTTTTTTTTTGGGGGGGGGGGGCTGCCCAGCTCTACTCAGGATTTACTCCTAGCTTTGGTGGCCTGGCAGGGGTGGGGGTGTGGGTGGGTGTTTGGAGTTTTGGTGTTTGCTGGGGATGAACCCTGGCTGAACAAGGCAACTGCCCTACCCCTGTACTATCTCTCCAGCCCTAAGTTTGCCTTTTTTCTTTTTCTTTTAAAGGGTTTTATATAGCCAAATACAAAAAATTTTTTTGTTGGCTCATTTCATATAATTATTTTAAGATTTATCTATGTGGTATGATTGGATACTTCATTTCTTGTTATTGCTAAGTCATTGTCTGTTGTATGGACATACCACTGTTTATCAACTCACGCATTGATGAGCATTTGTTTTTGTGGACTTTTGGGGGGAGGGGGAGCACATCTGGCAGTACCCAGGGCTTACTCCTGGCTCTACAGTCAGGGATCAAACCTCAGTTGGCCACACACAAGGCAAGCTCCCTTATTGCTATACTATCTCTCCAGCACTGGTTTGTACAATTATAGTCTTAAACAAAATCTTTTGGAGCCGAAGGATAGTATTCTGAGTAAAGTGGTTGCCTTGCTTGTGGCTGACCTGGATTCAATCCCTGGCATCCCATATGGTCCCCCAAGCCCAGTGATCCCTGAGTCATAGCATGGAGTAAGCCCTGAACACTGCCGGGTGTGGTCCCCCAAGCCCAGAAGCATGATCCTTGAGTCATAGCCAAGAGTAAGCCTGGAGCACTGCCGGGTGTATTCCCAAAACAAAACAAAAAATCAAAAATCTTAAAATAATTTCTCTAGTCTCCCTTTCTTCCCCAGACCCTGACAGGCAGAAATTTGCTTTCTGTCTCAATGAATTTGTCAGCTTTGAACATTTCATATGAGGTGAATCATTGTCATAAAAAGGAATGCTTATGTATCTCCTTCCTTTTATTTGGCTTTTTTTTCCCCCCTGTATTGGGCATTGAACTCATTCTCACTAATGCAGAACAGGTGTTCTGTTACTGCGCTGTATCCTTGTCCCTTAATTTACAGGATATTTTGTGTCTTTATTTTTGTTTTATGGCCCACACTCTTTGTTTTGGTGAAATTCACGATCACGATCATCCTGTTGTTCATGGATTGCCTCGTGCAGGCACCAGTAATGTCTCCTTCGTCCTAGACCTGAGATTTTAAAAAGTGCCATATTCAAGGCTCTTTCAGGATTAGAAGAATGAGGCCCATCATTGTTACTGGTATTTGGCATATTGGGTACGCCACAGGGAGTTTGCCAGACTCTGCTGTGTGGGCAGGTTACATTCGGTAGCCTGCCAGGTTGTCCAAAGTAATAATGAGATAGTAAGATGTCACGCGGCCGCAAATGCGACCGCGCACTTCTAGGAGCTGCATTTTAATCCTGAAATATCTTCTGTATCTACAGCTGTAACTGAAGGATTAATTTACCTTTTGAATCTTTTCTCTCTTCATCCTCTCTGCTACTCCCCTTTCTCATTCTTTTACCTTTCACCGTCATTTCGCTTATTTGTGGGGAAGGGGGCAGACACATTGTAGAATGGGCCACACCCAGAGGTGCTTAGAGCTATACCTAGTTTTGTGCTTAGGAGTCACCCCTGAGTGCTCAGGGGACCATCTGTGGTGCTGGGAATTTGATCCAGCATTGGTGGGATGTAAGGCAAGCACCTTAACCCTGTACTATCTCTCTAGTCTTCATTTGCCTTTTAATTTGAAATTCTTTCTCCAATACTAATACAGTGATTTTTATATTACTTCTCTGCTTTAAATCTCTTCATTGGTTTACTCTTATGAGAAAAATCTAAATTCCATAGTATGATATACTGTACACATCGGGGCCTGGGTTCTGTTCAACTTTTTCATTTCTTGCCATTCATCACCCATTTTTGTCTTCTCTCCATTTATACAAGTTACTTTTGGTTCTTTAAATGAGCTGCTGTATCATTTGAATGTACCTTTTCATTTGATAACTCTCTCTCTTCCTAAAAAATTTTCTTTTAGATAATTTTCACTTTTTCACAAAATTTAGCTTAGGAGTCAAATAAAGAGCAGGCTGTATGGGTTGGAGTGTATTTTTGTATTCAGGAGGTCCAGGTTTGATTCCTGATACTTCATGGTTCCCCCAGCACTTCCAGGAGCAGCCCCTCAAACATTGAGTTGGAAATAGTCTTTGAGCACCACCAGGTATGGTGCAAAAGCTTTAAATCATTTGGCTCAGGTTATTACCTCTGATTGCTTTTCCCTGTACTTTATTCTTTTCTAAGCTCCAACAGGTCCAAGCTTAACTATAATGTTTTTCTATCTTTATTGTAGTTAATTTTCTTGTTTCCTATTTGTTCCATAGATCAGAGCTTCTTGAGGTTAGTCAATATATATCTCCTGAGGCTGGAGAGATAGTACAATAGGTAGTGTGCACTTGCTTTGCAAATGGCCAACCTGGGTGTGATTCCTGACATCCCATATGATCTCCTGAGCCAACCAGGAGTGATTCCTGAGTGCAAAGCTAGAAGTAACCCCTAAGAATCTCCAGAAGTGGCAAATCCCTCCTCCACCGAAAGGGCAGGACACAAACTAATGAGGTCTGTTCTCTTTTAGGGAACAAATCACGTTGTGTGTGTCCATTCTGGAGAGATTGCTCCAAGCTGTGGAACCAGTTGATGTGGCCCGGGACCTCAGGGTTGATCTGCAAAAGGGACTGGCTCATCCCAATGATTCTGTAAAAATCCTCACTCTGTCACAGGTATGAATTTTTACCATAGTAAAGGAACATCATTTAGTGATAATGCATTCTGGTCCTGACTTTATGTGGGTACCAAAAATGAGAGATGAAGCAACATGATTTTTTATATCCCTATGAAGTATCTAGTCTATTTCTATTGTACATAGCTAACTATAATCAGGAGAGTACAAGTAAAGCAACAAAAGCCACTAAGTGCCATCTGAATCATTCATCCAGCCATATTGCTGAGTTCCTTTTAATAGAACCATATGCCAACTGAACTGCTAAGGAAAATAAACCCATTTCTTTCCATGAAGTGGCCTCTTATTCTTGAGAAAAAGGTTGCCATGTTAGATCATATTATATGAATGAAGTGCTATTGTAAAGTGTCTGAATCAACAAATTAATGTAGTATCTCATATTGGCCTGCTAGCAAAAACCAAAATAAATTCTATTATTTGGGTGAAGAGCTGCTGCTTGCTGAATTTCTTGTTGAAATGTTAAGACCTGAGCAGATATTACCCAAAAGGTATTTACTGTTTTTCCTTTTCTCCTCTAATGTCTTTACCAAAAAGAGGGAAAGTATCAGTTTATTTGAGCCATTTATGTGCCAGGCACTATAGTATGTACTTTACCTGTTAAATCTCACATAAGTTTCTTAACAGGATTATATCACCTTATAAATAAGGAATTATGTTCACAGAAATTATATAATTTTCCCACAGTCAGTCCTCCCGGTGTTCATCGATTTGCTCAAGCGGGCCCAGTAACATCTCCATCGTGAGACTTGTTGTTACTGTGTTTGGCATATCAAATATATGATATATCGAATACGTCATGGGTAGGTTGCCAGGCTTTGCCGTGCGGGCGAGATACTCTCAGTAGCTTGCCTGGCTCTCGGAGAGGGGCGGAGGAATTGAACCCGGCTCCCCCGGGCTGGCTGCGCGCAAGGCAAACACCCTACCGCTGTGCTATCGCTCCAACCCCTCCTACAGTCAGTATAGGTGAAAATGATAGAAATAGAGTTTGTTTTCACTGAGTTTCATTCTTTCTCAACTCTTCATCTATTGTTTATTTTTTCAAAGATATGACAGTATCACATATAATTTAGCTATAATGAATGTGTCTTGGGGCCGGGGTGATGGTACAGTGGGTTGGCCATTTATCTTGCATACAGACAACCTGGGTTTGATCCCTGGCACCCCATATGGTCCCCTGAGCACTGCCAGGAGTGATCCCTGAGCTGGGTATGACCCTAAAACTAAAAAAGAAAAATAAAATGTGCTAGTTAGATTTTTATTTTTTCTTTCCCATTTGTTGTTCCAGTGTCTAGGAGTCAAAAACTTGTTATAGTGCTAGGGTTTACATACTTAGTTGTGTGTGACATTTTGCTCACATGTGATTCTGGTGCGCTGGGAGACTGCAACTTGTGGCACCAGGGATCACAGCAGCAGTACCAAAAGTTGCACTCAACAATGTGGATTGGTGCCAGTGATCAAATTTGCAACTCCACACATGCAAGGCGAGTAATCTATCACTGAGTCTCATTCCCAGGGCTTGACATTTATAATGATGCCTTATTACTGTAATCAGCTCCTAAAATAACTGGCCATCATGTGGTCAAATCTTATTCTACCTTGGAAGAATGTTTCTGATTTTTTTTTTTCTTTCAGGTTGGAAGAATTGTTGAAAATTCTGATGCTGTTACTGAGATTCTAAATAATGCTGAATTACTAAAACAAATTGTTTATTGTATTGGTGGAGAAAATCTCTCTGTAGCTAAAGCGGTAAGTTAGAACCCAGTGTTCACTCAGGGACAAAGAAAGACTTTCTGTTTTTGACGAGGTAAAGTAAGTAAAGTAAAGTAAAGGCCCTCCCGTTGATCATCGATTTGCTCGAGCGGGCCCAGTAACGTCTCCATTGGAGACTTTGTTGTTACTGTGTCTGGCATATTGAATACTCTCGGTAGCTTGCCGGGCTCTCCAAGAGGGGCGGAGGAATCGAACTCGGGTCGGCCATGTTGGCTGCGTGCAAGGCAAACGCCCTCCCCACTGTGCTATCGCTCCAGCCCATTTTGACGAGGTAAAGGTTTACAATTATTTGTGTTGCTGAGTGTATAGCCTCTTATACATGATAGCACTGTAGCACTGTCCTCCCATTGTTCATCAGTTTGCTAAAGCAAGCACTAATAAAGTCTCTATTGTGAGACTTGTTACTGTTTTTGGCATATGGAATACACCACAGGGAGCTTGCCAGGCTCTGCTGTGCGGGCGGGGTACTCTCGGTAGCTTGCAGGGCTCTCCTAGAGGGACAGAGGAATTGAACCCAGGTCGGCTGTGTGCAAGGCAAACACTCTACCCGCTGTGCTCCTGCCCATACATGATATCAGATAAATAAATGGTTGTTAAATAATAAATCCCTTCTGTTTTTTAGATCACAATCCATTGGGTTGTTTGATAAGACACAAAGCATAATTTTTTTGTGGGTGGGTGGCCACAATCAGCATTGCTCAGGAATTACTCCTGGCTCTTAAGAATTATCCTGGTAGTGCTCAGGGACCCATATAGAATACTGGGGTTTTAAACCCAGGTCACTTCTAATTCTAAATGACAGTTAAAATGTAGTGAATTCTCATAGGGCCATATGTATTCTACACAACAGATAATATAGTCTGTATTTTTATAACTTACGAGGTGTTTTCTTTCCTTCTAAGGCCATTAAATCCTTATCAAGAATATCACTAACCCAAGCTGGACTGGAGGCTTTATTTGAAAGTAATCTGCTAGATGATTTGAAAAACGTAATGAAAACAAATGACATTGTCCGATACAGAGTGTATGAGGTAAGTGAAATCGCACTTTTTGCTGTACAATTCAGAACACAGTGTATCAAAGATTCAAAAAAGATGTTTCATTTAGCACGTATTTATTAAGAATATGGTCGGTACTAGGCCCTACTAGTTGTTTTGACTATAGGAATAAAGTGTCAGCCTAATGTATGAGATATTCATACGTGTAACTACTAGTTGTTTTGACTATAGGAGTAAACTGTCAGCCTAATGTATGAGATATTCATATGTATAATATGTATAGTGCACCATATAAATTATTCTAAGAAAGGAGAAAATGTTGAATTAGACCTACAAAAAATTCATAGTACTAGCAGTAGCAGCAGAAGTAGCAAATGAGAAGAAATAGTTGTCATTTCTGCCAGTTTTGTACTGAGTACTTGCTGGATCTTCATATGCATTGTGTTCACTTCTCACTATATGTTGTTGTTAGTCTCACTTTTGATTGATACCCTCCCACACAGTTAATACGTTGTATATTCAAAGTAGAACACTCTGTAGTTTAATTCCCTCTTCAGATATCATATCATGATACATAGTATCATTGTTTTCCTTCTGCCTCTAGCTGTTCTCAATATCCTGGCTGTGTTGGGCTTTTCTTTCTTTTTTTAAAAAAAAATTAATTTTTTTATAAAGTTGTTCATAATATTTGATTACATTTAATATTTGAACACCAATCCCACAACCATATTTCAGATGTTTCCATCCTGAGGCCTAAACCCTGCCCTCAAAGCAGAACTGAAATAATTTATATGGCGATTCCTCCACCTCTCCCGGAGAGTCCGACAAGCTACCGAGAGTATCTCACCCGCGCGGCAAAGCCTGGCAAGCTCCCCATGATGTATTTGATATACCAAACACAATAACAAATGTCACAATGGAGACATTACTGAGCCCACTTGAGCAAATCAATGAACAACGGGAGGACAGTGACAGTGACAGTATGGCTTGTTATGAATAATCCACAAATGATCCAAAAAAGGTTTCTTAGAGGAAAGTGTGTGAAGATTGTTGTATTTCACCCAGGAGCCATTAAGCCCTTCTATAAGAGATTAGTACCATGTTGTTAAAGGTTGATCTTGTATACATGTATTTCCCCCTAAGATTGATTGCCTTCTAATTTAAACCCCATCAAATGTAGGGTTGCCCTGAATGAAACAGCTTGGCGTAGAGTCTGGAGGCATGTCTATAGCATAACTGTGTTGAACTTTCCATTTTTGGATTTCACACAATACTGTATCATTCTTTCCCAGCCACTTCTATTCATCTTGTGGTTTCACTTCCCACCTAGGTGGTAATTATACTCCATAGACCTACAACCCACATCTCTCTTGGGTGCTCAGACCTTCATGTCTGTTTATTCATTCTCTCTTAGGCATATTATAGTCTCCTCACTCATGCCTAAACTAAACTAATCATAATCCACTCACCCATGCAGGTCCCAGTAGGAAAGCACCAAACGTTCAGGCCCACACTGCCCTCTGAACAGCCACAGAAATAGCCCTGGGCACTTGCCTCCAGAACTAGGAACAATTGGTGGGGCGCCTTATAAGCAACAACAGGAAAAAAGGAAAAAGAGCAAACTGGTGTTCACTTACATATTTGATTATTAGAGCGTATTCACTGTGAAGACCTTGTTCTCCTGCCATGTATCTATTCATTCAATTATTATGTCCTGTCAGTTTTACTGAAATTGCGTTCTTCCTTTATCTGGTCACTGCCAGCTTAGTCTAAGCTGCCAGTGTGTCAGTCTCCTGTGACCTACTGCTTTTGCATCCAAACTCATCTCTTCTTATTCATTTTTGTTAGCACTAATCTTTTATCATCATGTGCAACAAGAATGATCCTTGAGAAATCCCAGTATAAGTCTGTCTTTGCTCTGCTTAAAGTTCTTCAGTGCCCTCCAGTATTTCTCAGCCCTAAGAACATACTTGATTGACGTAGGGAATGAATTAATGATAGAATTTTGGTGGTTTTTTTTTTCACTTCGTGATTTTTTTTTTTGTTTTAAATGAATCGCGGTGAGATAGTTACAAACTTTCATGCTTATGTTTCAGTCGTACAGTGAGAGTGATAGAATTTTTCAAATAATCAATGATGTTTATAATTATTGTTGCCGATACATGCTTTTATATCCTGGTCTTTGCTTTTAAAAAAAACTGCAGCAGCATCCAGATAGAAAGAAAAGTTCCTGTGTCAAAGAGTTTCCTGCTTGTGAAAACATAATGGACTTAACAAATTTAATTTTGTTGAGCTGGAAAGAAAACTCAGTAGACTAGAACATGTTCAATCTCTAGCACTGTACATGATTCCCTGAGCAACACCAGGTGTGACTCCTAAAAAAACAAACCAGGAGTAGCTTCTAAGCACTGTGAGGCAGGGTCCCAAAACAAAAAACAAACAGATAGCAAACAACAAAGGAAGATGTGCAGGTCTGGCCTGGATATGGAAATAAGAGCTATTAGAAATTGAGACTCATTACATTCCCTCCTTCTTGACTATTCTAAGATCTTCCTCCTTCCTTTGTGGATTGTTTCTTCTATCTTCTGGCTCAATTCTTGTCATGGCCTATAGGAAATGTTTAAAAAGAATCCTGTGCACTTAGCATAATTTTGTTTGTTTGTTTCTTTCTTTTTTTGTCTTTTTGGGTCAAACCATGGGATGCTCAGGGGTTATTCCTGGCTCTGCACTCATGTAGTCAGGAATTACTCCACTTGGTGCTCAGGGGCCCATATGGGATTCTGGGGATTGAACCCTGGTCATCAGTTTACAAGGCAAACGCTCTGCCTGCTATACTATCACTCTGGCCCCTTGGCATAATTTTCTGTTGACTCATTGAATGAGAGGAAACCATTTATAAGTCACCCCGTCCCAATCAATCTTAATCTCTAGTTCAATCAGTGGCAAAGCAAGTATAACAGCCTGATGTGTTTTTACTAAGCAGACTTTTTTTTTTTCTCTTTTGCTTTTTGGGTCACACCCGGTGATACTCAGGGGTTACTCCTGGGTCTGCACTCAGGAATTACTCCTGGTGGTGCTCGGGGGACCATTGGGGATGCTGGGAATCGAACCCCAGTTAGCCGTGTGCAAGGCAAACGCCCTACCTGCTGTGTTATCACTCCAGCCCTAAGCAGACATTTTTCATTAAAGTACTTTCTAATAAAAAGACAAGTTGTGCAGACGTGTTCTACATATACCATTTGTCGTGTCCTTTCATACCTTCCTAGCATTCATTCTGTAGGTATTTATTTTGTATCATTTGCCTACACTGTTGGAGGGGTTGAGGATACAGCAATAAAAAAAGAACAAAATTTTTAGTTACATAAAGTACCTAGACTTATGCTTACCTTAAAATGAGAGCTAAGGGGCTGGAGCAATAGCACAGCGGGTTGGGTGTTTGCCTTGCATGCGGTCGACCAGGGTTCGATTCCCAGCATCCCATATGGTCCCCTGAACATTGCCAGGAGTAGCCCCTGTGCATCGCCGGGTGTGACCCAAAAACCAAAAAAAAAAAAAAAAGAGAGCTAAGCTTTTACTTTTCTGATTTTTTTCCCTATTCTTTCAGTTAATTGTGGAGATTTCTTCTGCGTCACCAGAATCTTTAAACTACTGTACCACCAGTGGATTGATAACTCAGCTTCTCAGAGAGCTTACTGGTGAGGATGTGCTGGTAAGGTACGTAGGCTACAAGAGTTCTCAAAGTGAAATCTATTGTGAATGACCATGAACGAACCTTCAGTTTTATTGTGATCTTTCCAAAATAGACCTGGCCCTACCTTGTTATGTTATAACTCACCTGAACTTTACAAAGCCTCGTGTTAACTGTGTTCCCATTTTTTAGTAGGCATGTATGCACTTAAGAAATGCTAGTACTGGGGCTGGAGAGATAGTACAGTGAGTGCTGCACTTGGCCTTGCAGAAGCTGACTCAGATTCGGTCCCTGGGACTCCTTGTGGTCCCCCTAGTCCTGCCAGGAGTTATCCTTGAGCACATAGCCAGGAGTAAGCCTTGAGCACTTCTGGGTGTGGCCCAGAAACCAAAAAGATTTTTCAGTCCCAAGGTGGCTACCATTTTGTTTTTACTGTATGTGTGTTATGCACATTTAACCCATATATATGTTATCATAGCTTTTTTTGGTGTTATTTACTTAGGCAATAGCATTATGATATGTAGGATAGTAAAAACATTGGCTATTGAAACTGAACAAGACTAGGTTTGCATGCATCTCTCCTATTCACTAGCCATTTTTGACCTTATATGTATTCTGCACCTAAGTTTCTTCATCTCCCAAATGCAACAAAAACAACTTTTTTTTCCTTTTTGGGTCATACCCAGAAATGTTCAAGGATTAGTCCTGGCTCTGCACTCAAGAATTATTTCTGGCAGTACACAGGGACCATATGGGATGCCAGGGATTGAGCCTAGGTTGGCAGTGTGCAAGGCAAACACCCTACCCGCTGTATTATTGCTCTGGCCCCAATAGCTTTTAAAGATACCATGAGTTAAATAACTTGGCTAATACAATGGCTTATATAATTCCTCAAAAAAATGTAATTTCAATCTTCTTGTTCTGTACTCCCTAATTTCTTAAGCTTTAATTTCCGCCTTGATATTCCACAGTTGATTAATAGATTCTTGCTGTTGATCATTTGTTATGCTTCAAGTGTTTTGCTGTTAACAATATGGTTAAATTTCTATATACCAGTTTTGTTTTTTTCTTAAGTGACTTTCTGATTTCCGCTATTAAAAAATTTTTTTTTGATCTTTGGGCCAACCTAGCAGTGTTCAAGGGCTACTCCCACTTTCTCCCACTTTGGTGCTTGGGAGTTACACCTGACCAAGTTTGGCTGCTTGCATGGCAGGTGCTCTACCAACTCAGAACATTAATTTTGTTAACTTTTTTTTGGGGGGGGGGGGAGGTGTGTGTTTCCAGAAGTTAGACATGCAAGTATGCAAGGCATCCCCTTTGCTTCTGAGTCACATTCTTTAGCCCATTTTTTTTTAAACTTGTATCAATTTTTGAAATAAAATAAGCCTACAGATATTAATAATAGGTTCAAACATCTTAAGGTCAACTATAAAAAGTATTTATCTCAGTTGATTGGCAAATTTTGATTATAGTTTTATTGTTAGATACCAAAGAATTATTAGCATTAGTTTTTTAATATTAATGTTTTTAATGTGTGGTAGTTGTAGCATAATTGTGACAGGAAATGTTTGTGTGACTTGCTCATGTTTGAAAGGGTAAATGATACAGTCATTGGAATTTACCTTAAAGTAATTTATTAAAAATGGGGAGAAAGGAGATAATATAAGGCAAAATCATAATCAGGATTAAGGTTTATGGGAACTTTGCTATTCTCATTTGCATGTATGTGCCATTTCAAAGCTTAAGACAATCACTTAGGAAAGCATCTGTATCTTAATGGAAACAATAGGCAAGATTTAAATTTAAAGGTTTCCTTGTGATAGTGCATGACCATGGACCAGTCACTGCAGTTTTCTCATCCTGTATGCTTATCTAATTGATAAAGCCAGGATTATTGACCTTGCGTAGTTGATGGGAAGAAATAAAATAATGCATATGATAGTATTTTGTAAAATATTTTCATCTAATAGAAATCTTTGGTATTTCAGAGCCACATGTATAGAAATGGTGACATCACTGGCTTATACTCTCCATGGACGACAATACCTTGCTCAAGAGGGAGTAATTGATCAGATTTCCAATATAATTGTTGGGGCAGATGCAGACCCTTTCTCTAGCTTCTATTTGCCAGGTAAGAAATATTCATGCCACTATATATGATGAAACTTGTTTTATTTCTGTGATAGGTCATGGGTTGTTTCCTTTTTACCTGTTTTTCTTTGAAGTTTTGTTTATTTTATGTTTGTGTTTATTTATTTATTTATGTAGGAATGCTGCTATTCATTCAGCCACTGATTAGCTGATTGAATTGGGCATGAACTCCACCTTACTGTATTTTTTTCATTTTTTATAATTTTATATATTGAATCACCGTGAGAGCAGTTACAAAGCTTTCGGGTTTAAGTTTCGGTCATACAATGAAACACCTGTACCTTCACCAGTGCCCATTCTCCACCACCAAAAACCCCAGTATACCCCATCCCACACACTCCCCCACCTGTGGGGCAGATGATTTCCACATTACTCTCTATTTTGATTACATTCAATATTTTGACACCAGACCCACCATTATTATTTGGGATTTTACCCCAGCACTTAGATCTGCTGATAAGACAACAGTAGACAATTTGTTTTCTATAGCTGGTTATGAATAACATATGATATCATGTGGCTGCAGTAGTGGCCACACGATTTTGAAATTCTGAAATTTTAACACTTAAATCTGGAGGGATTTCTGTCAAAACGTGCTGGGTTCCGAGATTTGTTCCTGAGTCTCTGGGATCATGGCCGTTAAGCAGCTTGATCAGGAGCCAGAAAGGCCGTTTATGGGCGGCGACTCAGGGTCTTTTTGGGATGGGGAGGAAAGGGCCGGCTCCACCCCCGTCCCATGAGGCCCCACGTGTCTCATCACTTAGGGCCCAAACCTGACTGTCCAATGGCCTCTGGAGGATGGCGGTCACTGAGCCTCCTAGGGGGAGCAGGCGGAGGGACAGCGTCCTTTTCCCCCTGGAATGGCCTGGCGACAGTAACCTACTGTGGGGTCTGGACGCATTTCTGCCAAAAGCTGCTGGGTTTGAAGATTTGTTTCTGAGTCTCTGGGATCATGGCCATTAAGCAGCTTGATCGGGAGCCAGAGAGGCCGTTCATGGGCGGCAACTAGGGGTCTCGTTGGGACGGGGAGGAAAGGGCCGACTCCACCCCCATCCTGTGAGGCCCTGCTTGTCTTATCATTGCAGGCCCAAACCTGACTGTCCAGTAGTCTCTGGAGGATGGTGGCCACCAGACCTCCAGGAGGAATAGGCCAAGGCATGAAACCTATTCCCACCTGGGCTGACCCAGTGCCAGTAACCTACTACAGGGACTGGATGCATTTCTGCCAAAAGCTGCTGGGTTCCGTGATTTTTTTCTGAGTCTCTCGGATCATGACCATTAAAAGCCTTGATCAGGAGCCAGAGAGGCTGTTTGTTGGTGGCGACTTGGGGTCTCGTTGGGGTGGGAGAGAAAGGGCCAGCTCCACCCCCACCCCCATCCCATGAGGCCCTGTGTGTCTTGTCACTGTGGGCCCAAACCTGACTGTCCAGTGGCCTCTGGAGGATGGCAGCCACTGAGCCGCCAAGGGGGAGCAGTTGGAGGGACAGCACCCTTTCCCCCCTGGGGTGGCCTGGCGACAGTAACCTACTGCGCGGTCTGCATGCATTTCTGCCAAAAGCCGCTGGGTTTGAAGATTTGTTTCTGAGTCTCTGGGATCATGGCCGTTAAATAGCTTGATCAGGAGCCAAAGGCCATTCGTGGGCAGCAACTCGAGATCTCCTTGGGACGGGGAGGAAAGGGCCGGCTCCACCCCCATCCCGTGAGGCCCCACGTGTCTCGTCACTGTGGGCCCAAACCTGACTATCCAGTGGCCTCTGGAGGATGACGGCCACTGGGCCGCCAGGGGGAACAGGCCAAGGCACGAAACCTATTCCCACTTGTTGTGGCCCAGCACCAGTAAGCTACTGCAGGGACTGGACACATTTCTGCCAAAAGCCACTGGGTTTTGAGATTTGTTTCTGAGTCTCTGGGATCATGGCCATTAAGCAGTTCAATCAGGAACCAGAGAGGCCATGCCTCCAATCATATAGCTGAGCCGGAGGTGGTTTGTGGGTGTGTCTCTCACATGCCTAACTTTTGGCCATTTACTTTCTTGGTAAACTTTGCCCCAAGTTTTTGTGGTCTGACCAAAGGCACAGCAGCAATTTTGGGGTATCTGGATGTCTGAAGGTGCCATCAGGCTGCTGATGCACCCGCCTCACAGGTACAGATTGATCTGCTGGCGGCACCATACCCCCTTATTTGTGTTTATTTTGGATTATGCTCGGTGGTCACTGTCACTGTCCTCCCATTGTTCATTGATTTGCTCGAGCATGCCCAGTAACATCTCCATTGTGACACTTGTTACTTTGTTTGGCATATCGAATACATCACGGGTAGCTTGCCAGGCTTTGCCGTGCGGGCGATATACTCTCCGTAGTTTGCTGAGTTCTCCAAGAGGGGCGGAGGAATACTCCCAATACTCAGGGCCACTCCCAGTAATGTAGGGGAACCAATCATGCAGGAGGTATATTCGGGGGTCTCACATGCAAAACTTGTGCTCTAGCATTGAGCCATCTGTCTATCCCTGTAGGTGATTCCCTGTAGAGTAATGGCTCTTGTAAGCTAGGGATGTGACTCAGTGGAACAGCAGGTACCCCTGGGAGCCATGTGCTATTAATTCTCAGAAACAGTATTCCTAGTTAAGAGCATAAGGACAGTTTCCTTTGAACCTCAGTCAAAAGAAATGTAAGTAAAAATAAGAGGAATTACGTATACAGTATAGTTCAGAGATTTGTCAGATTTTGTGAGTTGGAAGCTTTCATATAGGTTTTACTTCGACCTTTTTGTTTTAGGACTTGGTTGATTAGTTCTTCTTGACTCCTTCCAGAAATTGGACTTACTCCTTCCTCAGGTAGCCTACTTAATTTTACTCTTAAAAAAAACTTTTGGAACTAGAGAGATTGTACAGGATATAAGATGCTTGCCTTACAATGTAGCTGACCCTGGTTTGATCCCATGTCTACATATGGTGCCTCAAGCACTGCTAGAAGTTACTCCTGGGCACAAAACCAGGAATAACCCTTGAGCATTTCTAGGTGTGACCCAGTATCTTTAACTCCCCTCCGCCCTCCAGTTTTGTGTTTTGGTTTGGGTTGGGTTGGGTTGGGTTGGGGTTTTATTTATTTATTTATTTATTTATTGGTTGTAGCTTAGTGGTGCAGTGCCGCAGATTTGATTCCTGGTACTGGGAAAACAAAGAAACAAAAGTCCTCCTAATAATAATTTTAAACTTGTCTTCCTATAATTTGTATCCATTGGTCCTTATTCTTTGTTCTCACTCTTGCATAGTATAGCAATGTTTGTATCTGCTGTATTGACATGGGGTTTCTTGATTGCTTCACATCATTGAATCCTTCACAATCTCTTTACCACTTCCTGATGTCCAGGCAGCACAGTACTCAATCTTTTTCTTCTCTCTGGCCTATAATTGATCAGTGATTAGTGGTGCTCTGAAAATATAGGACCCACAATTTTTTTTAATGTGACTTTTTAAAAAAACTTTTATTAGTGAGACACCATGAGGTACAGTTGTAGACTTACAAATTTTGTGCTTGGGTTTCAATTATACAATGATCAAATACCCATCCCTCCACCAGTGCCCATTTCCCACCACCATGAATTCCAGTATCCCTCCCACCCCCCCATCCCCCTATCCCACCCTGCCTCTGTGACAGGGCATTCCCCTCTGTTCTCTCTCTCCTTTTGGGTGTTGTAGAACCCACAATTTTTGCTTCCTTTGTTGCTTACTAAAGTTTTGGGGTTTGTTTTGTTTTGTTTTTAATAAATGTCTTTAGGATTTGTCAAGTTTTTTGGAAACCTAGCTATCATGGATAGTCCTCAACAGATCTGTGAGCGTTACCCTGTTTTTGTGGAAAAAGTCTTTGAAATGACAGAGAGTCAGGACCCCACCATGATTGGAGTAGCAGTGGACACAGTTGGAATCCTGGGATCTAATGTTGAAGGAAAGCAAGTTTTACATAAAACAGGTTGGTATGATTGTTTGACTTTCTTTAGAAATACTTCAACTATAACAAGGACCAAATGTATTAATTTGCTGTTATATTAACCGTATTGTAGAACTATTAAATTGATAATTTGTTATAATGATGTTGAGCACATCCATAAAAGATTCCTAATTGTACTTTACTGTATTATTTTTTTTAAACTTTACCTATTGTTTCTCCTGTATATTGTCATGAGTATTATTTGTGGCACAAAGACCACAGGCTAGAGTTAGAAATCCTGGATTCGTTTCTCAGTTCTAACAATTAAACTCCATTTACTCACTTTTCCTCTCTAGGGTTTATTTTTCTCTTTTATGAAAACAGCAGACTAACTGCTGTAATGAATCTTTAATAGAAGGATATGTTACATGTTTAAATGTTAAGGAAAATAATTCATTATAAGATTTTATGTAAAGAATGATACTTCTGTGATATGTTCATGCTCTGACTTCTGTTCGTGATGGGGCACTTCCTTAGGACTCACTCACCCAGCTGGGTGGGAGGCAATGCTCAGTGTCCTCTAGGGCCATATCCAGTGATGCTTGGGAGTCGCTAAGGGCTATTCCTGGTGACGCTTGAGTTGGGAGATCTTGTGTTGTTGTTGCTTAAAGCAGGGTAGAGCACATGCAAGGCACTGCACTATGGAGAATTTGGAACCCTTATACATATCTACTAGGATTATAAAATGGTATAGTCACTATTGAAAAGAGTTTGGTGACTCCTCAAAAGCTTAAACATAGAATTACTGTATGATGCAGCAATTGCTCTTCTGTATATACCCCAAAGAACTAAAATAGGGACTCAGATATTTGTACACCTGTGTTCATAACAGCAATATTCATAATAGCCCCAAAGGGTGAAAATCACTTACATATTCATTGATGGATGGAAATACTGTGTATCAATGTACAGTTGAATTGAGCCTTAAAAAGGAAGACAGTTGTCATTTATGCTACAATATGGAGAAACTTTGAGCATGTGCTGTATGAAATAAGCCATTCACAAAAGGACAACTATTGTATGATTCCACATATATAAGGTACCAAGTCAAATGCATAAAGACAAAAGAAGAATAGTGGTTGTTAGGGGAAGGGGCTCGAGTATAATGGAAGATTAGTGTGTTGGACTTAAGTAGTTTTTGATGATAAAAAAGTTCCAGAACTAGATAGTGATGATGGTTGCATAACAGAGTGAATATATTAATGCCATTGAGCTGTATGCTTAAAATGGTTGATTTTATGTTTTATATGTATGTTTCCCCCATAATTAAGAAAAAAAAATCATTGTCCTTCAAAGGAACTCGCTTTGAACGCTTGCTCATGAAAATAGGATATCAAGCAAAGAATGCATCGACAGAGCTCAAAATTAGGTGTTTGGATGCAATTTCATCTCTTCTTTATTTGCCAGTAAGTAATTGGGAAATTAATGTAGTTCAGTGGGGTATATCAGAAGAATAAAATTGCCAGAATAACACCAACTTACTATAAATGGTGACCAAATCAATGCCATTGTTCTTTGTAAAAGAAGATAATTCTCATTGTAGGGTTAGTGGGTGGGTGGGGGGTCACATCCAGCAGTATTGGCTTTGTGCTCAGTGCTCAGGAGTGACCCCTAACAGTGCTAGGAGGACTATATGTGGTCCTAGAGATTTGTGTTGGGATTTTCACAGCAAGGAAAGTGCCTTACCTCCTGTGTTCTCTCTCCCCTTATAGCCCCTAGTAACATGTTGTTTTTTATTTTGGCTGTGTTCAGGACTTATTCTTGGTTCTGTGCTCCAGGATAATGCCAGGTGGTGCTCAGGAGACCATATGGAGTGCCGGAGATTGAATCTGGGTTAACTGTGTGAAAGGCAAATGCCCTACCCACTTGTACTATTGCTCTGGCTCCTCTAGTAACATTTTTAAAGCTAACATGGAATCATAGAATATTGAAATTAAAAAGAAGAGAGAACCTCAGAGATAGTTTCATCCATTCCATCAAAAAACAAAACTTGGCAAGTCTGTAGCAGGTTTGGGAAGAGTGATCCAGACTTAGCACAGGTTACTCAAAATGAATAAAAGGGTGCCATCAGAACCCAGGTTTCTTGACTTTCAAATGTCTTGAGGTTTTCCTTTTCTCTCCTATAGCCTGAACAGGAGACTGAAGACCTCCTGAGGATGACAGAATCCTGGTTTTCTTCTTTATCTCGGGACTCATTGGAGCTCTTCCGGGGCATCAGTAATCAGCCTTTCCCTGAACTACGCTGTGCAGCCTTAAAAGTGTTCACGGTAAGGTGTGTGTGTGTCTGGGGCGGGGGGAGGGAGGTGCAGGGGCTGGGGTTTGGGGTTGAAAGTGGGAACGTTGTATGCCTGAAACCTTATTAGGAACAACTTGATAAATCACTGTGTCTACATAAAAACTAGATTCAAAAAATATGTTTTTTTTTTTTCATGTGTTCCCAGTGAGTATGCTCTTTCAGGAACTTGGCCACTTGAATGCACAAGCATTTACAGAGAGCCAGTCCCTATGCCATGCCCTGGGATCTACAAGTACACTATCTAGTATAGTTTTTGTTCTCTGGTACCTTGAGGGAGATTAATGTGTAATGACAGGCAAGATGTATAAACAGCCTGTTTCTATAAAGAATTGTTCATGTTATAGCAGAGGCTGAAACAGATTCTATGGCATTAGAGGTTATTTCTGAATTCCTTCTCTACCATAACACTCTAGCCTAACCACTTGCTTCTTATCTCTGGAACTTTCTGGTACCTACTCTTTACTCATTTTCTTTGTTAACCTCTTACTCATTTTTCAAGGACTACGTCAGGTATCTTTCCAACAGTCTTTGACCAAACCTACTGGTTGAATGAAAAAATGTCAGATTTCATAATTCACATTTATTCATTTAATAAATATTGTTGAACTTGTTTTGTGCTCTATACTACTATACTAGCGATATGACAGTAAATAAAATGTGCAAAGAACTTCCTTTCATGTAGTTTACTAGCTGATAGGGTACCCAGGCAGTAAAGATAGTTGTGAAATAATAACATAATTACAGTTGTGGTAAGGATTATTTTTGTGTTCTAATTTATGTTGAAAATGTGTATTTATTGAGCTGTCATATTGGTTAATTGGTTTCCCAAAATTAGGAACAATATTAGATGTATCTTTACTGATTGGAATGGGTTTTTGAGGGCAGGGAACATACTTTGTGGTGTTCAGGGCTTACTCCTACCTCTGTGCTCTGGGGTCACTCCTGGCAGTGCCTGGAGGACTGTATGTGGTGCTGAGGATCAAGCCAGGATTGGCTCAGTGCATGACAAGTACTTTAACCCCCTGCCTTGGGATAGTTATTTTATTTCAGCCAGCCTGTCATCCTTACCCACTGTTAATTTGATATATTTTGACCTTAAATCTTAAGAGTTCTTATTCAAATGTAGATTCTGACCATTTTTAATTTTTCATTGCTATATACCATAATTTACTTATCTCTGCTCCTATTGGATATTGATATCATCATTCACAGTGATAAACATTATTGTATACAAAGCTTTTTACATTTTAGATTCTCTTTCTTTTTGTTTGTTTTTTGGACTACACAGCTGCTCAGGGCTTATTCCTGGCCCTGCACTCAGGGATCACATCTGGTGGGGGACGGGTGTCATATGTGGTGCTCGATATCCAATTTGGGAAGGCCTATGTAAGGCAAGTGCCCTAGCCATTGTATTATCACTCTGGCCCCATATTTTAGAATTTGTTAAATTAGATTCCCAAAAAGGGGATAAACTTTTATAAAACAAAAGGTTTTATGTTGCTAACGTTTAAAAAATTGTGTCATCCCATTAACATTATTTCTTAGGACTCAGTTATGTTCTTTTTCTCTTTTTTTTCAGGCCATAGCGAACCAACCCTGGGCTCAAAAACTTATGATTAACAGTCCAGGTTTTGTTGAATATGTGATGGACCGATCTGTGGAGCGCGACAAAGCTTCAAAGGATGCAAAATATGAACTGGTGAAAGCACTTGCCACTTCCAAGACCATTGCAGAAATCTTTGGGAATCCAAACTACTTGAGGCTCCGAACTTACCTGAGTGAAGGTCCATACTATGTGAAACCTGTCTCCGTGACGGCCGTGGAAGGAGCTGAATGATTTCTTTTGCAGCCTTGACCATTTTTAACTAATACTTCCAAGGCACTTTACTCCATGTGTTTCACAAAACAGACTTCCTTCCCTGAAAACTGTCTAATTTAATTACCAGCTTTTTTTTTCCTACAGTGAAATACAATGTAGAACCTGGAAAGCAAACAAAATTTGGTTATGATTGACCTAGATGTTTTCCAGATTCCTTTGACTGCCTTAATCTTCGTAGAAAGAAAACTTTACTCTCCTGTCAAAAAATTTCTATGGACTTATTTTAGTCTTATTTAAATGTTAATTTCAAATAAAATGGAACCAAATTGAGTCTGAATTTTCATCACCTATTTTCTTTTCTGTTCTTTCTGTTTAGTCTGTGGGGCATTGAACCCCAAGTCTCACACACGTAAGGTAAGTATTCTACTGGTGAGCTACATCCCTAGCCCTTTTTTTCTTATTGTTCCTATTCTTCCTAATTTCACTTTCAGTGTCTTGGATGTAAATTTTCTCTGAAAAACAAGTGACATGGAATTTTAAGTTTATGCTCATTGAGAATAAATACTTTTAATAAGGTTTTCTCATTTTTTTTTTCGATTCTTTTCCTTAGAGAAATAGTAAATCTTTTAAAAAATAGTTTTTAGTTTTTTCTTATGCTGCTGCTTTTTGTCAGTGAATTTTACTCTAGTTTGGGTCAAAATGAGCAATAACTTGCTAAACCAGAAAGGCCAATTGGTTTATGTATTGGCAGTCACTGTTGTTGAGTTTTGCTTTTGATTTTTCAGATCAGTATTAAGTGGATGAAATGAGGACACTGATTCCTAATAACTTTTGGGGGTATGGGGTGGGCTATACCCGTGGTGCTCAGGGCCTACTGGCTCTATGCTCAGGGATCACCCCTGGCAGGACTTGGGGAACCATATGTGGTGTCAGGTTGGCCACATGTAAGCACCCTGGCGCCTTACTCCTAGTAACTCGAATCAGAATAGAGAGGGTACTATGAGTAAACCAGAATACCATCTCATTTTTCCAACAAAGCATCTTGCTTTTCATTGACCAAAGAAGAAATCCCGCTGTTTCCCAGCATCCTGTTTTCTTTTGTTTTTGTTTTGCTTTTTGGGTCACACCCGGCAATGCACAGGGGTTACTCCTGGCTCTGCACTCAGGAATTACTCCTGGCGGTGCTCAGGGGACCATATGGGATGCTGGGAATTGAACCTGAGTCAGCCTCGTGCAAGGCAAATGCCCTACCCTCTGTGCTATCGCTCCAGCCCCGCATCCTGTTTTCTAAATGGCAAGGTCATTACCTGTCCAGAGGTTTCTTCCCAGGCATGCAGACTTCAGAATCTAGGGACAGATGTCTTAAACCATGGTGACACTGATCACCTTTCTTGCTCTGTAGCAAAATGAGTCTTCACTGACTAGAATTCTTATGTCCATCATCTCTCTCGGCATTTCTGGCCACTAACCATTCTTGCGTTCCTGTGTCTCCTTTTTACATGCATGTTTTGAAATTGGCCATTTCCCTATTACTGATACTGCTAATTAAGCTATGACCAGGTCTGGGAACATTCTGGTTTTTGTTTGTTTTGACTTTTGAGTCATACCCAACAGTACCTGGGGGTCACTCTGGAGGACCATGCAGTGCCAGGTCAAGCCCATGACTCCAACATACAAAGCATTAGCCCTGATTCCCTTAGCCATGTCCTTTGCCCACTTACATTTTCTTAAGGTTATTTTTGTTTAATATTCTCATGAAGTTTATTTTATTAATATCAGTGTTCAAAGAGTTGTCTTCTTTCCTGTGTATGACCTACATATGCATTCTGTATTTTTGTGCCGGAAACTTTATTTTTAAGTAAAATGTACAAGTTATTTTGTATTTAATAAATTCTGTGGTTGGCTTTTGTTTTGTCCTAAATGTTAAGTTCATCTCACTTAATTTTATACTTCTCTTTCACAGATGCAGAAACCAAGGCATATAGCAAGTGACTAAAAGTAGAGGAAATTAGGCCAAAGGAAATTAGTGTATAAGACAAGAGAAAAAAGAAAATTGGGGCTGGAGAGATAGTTCAGGTATTAAGATGTTTACCTTGCTCGTAGCTTATCCAGATTTGATCCCTGGCACCAGATAATGGCCTGAATCCTGTCAGGAGTGAACTGAGCACCACCAGTAGTAAACCCTGAGCACAACTGGATGTGGCTCAAAACAAGAAGAGGATTACTGTATAGTAAAGTACAATAATAGAGGGAAAGATAAAACACCTAATTTATTTGTTTTTGGTTTGGGTTTGTTTGCTCTGTGATCTCAATTGCTCCTGGTGGGCTTGGAGGACCGTATGAAATGCCAAACCTGGGTTGGCTATATGCAAGGCAAGCACCTTCCCTTCTATATTATCTCCCTGGCTCCCCCACCTATTTTAGTCTCAGGGAAAGAATCCCCTGAATTCTCACGACCCTGTATAATCTAGTGAAGAGAATTAAGAGAAGTAGCAAAGGTACTGATACCAAATCAAAAGCATTCGAAGTGGTACAGTGTTTTAAAGGGAAAAATTGCATGATTCTCTAGTATTACTAATAAAATTACTCAACATCTACTTTATGAGAGGCACTTTTCTGCATTTTTATCAAAACACAAACACATAAAACCATGCAAAATATTTTGTAGAAAAAGACACAATTTTAGACTCACAGTTCAGTATCTTGTTCAGACCACAGCCCAGAGCCAGAGTATACACCTGTTTCTGAGGGTTAGGCACATGTGTTTCCCTTCTATTACTTAGTATATTTTAAGGATAAGAGCAGTTACTGTATCAGACTGTTCTAAATGCTTTCCATGTATGGGGCTGGAGCAATCATGGATAGGGCCTTTGCCTTGCATGCGGCTAACCCGGGTTCAATTCCCATACCCCTGAGCACCACCAGGAGTGATTCCTGAGTGCAGAGCCAGGAGTAACCCCTGAGCATCACTGGGTATGACCCAAAAAGAAAAATGTCCTGTTCATCGATTTGCTCAAGCAGGCACCATTAACGTCTCCATTGTGAGACTTGTTACCGTTTTTGGCATATTGAGTATGCCATGGGGAGTTTAAAGTTTTAAATGTAGTCCCAACAGATTACCAAAATATGTTTTGCATGCAGATAAAATGGATGTTTTGTTAAATTCCTTTACTGCAGTGTTTTTAATTCTGAGCATTTTGAAAAATCAGTCCCCACTGTCATAACTGAGTCATGGCAACCTGATAAAAAGATTTTTTTAAAAAAAAATGACCAGTTATAAGGAGAAACAACACTTGGCTATAAATGTTCTTTTTTTCTGAATGAAAGATTTTATTTTGAAAAGAACCAGGCCACACAAATTTAAATTTCTTCATTGTGTTCTCAATCTGCTGTATTACATCAGATCACTAAATATTTTGCATCTTGCTAAATATGAGTAAAGATTTAGGCACACACACACACACAAGAGAGATAGTTCAAAACACATGCTTTGCATGCAGGAGACTTGGTTTAATTCCCAGAAACACATGGTCCCTCTTCCCCCAAACACACAGGCAGTAGTGAGCCCTGATCACTGCCTAGTGAGGCCCATAAAAAAAAAAAAACTAAAAACCCACACATGAAGTAAGTATACTTTCTATCACAAGGTAGGTGGTAACTGAAAAGAACTACACAAGGAAAAAAAAAAGTCAGAAAATTAGCTCAAAGGGCTGAGCACATTCTTTGCATAGGGGAAGTCCAGGTTTGATCCACGTGGTACCCTGAACACTACCAAGAGCAGCCCCTCCTCCTCCAAACACTACTGGGTATGGCCCAAAAACCAAAAGAAAGAAAAAATCCTAGTCACCAAAATACATGGGATTATCTTTTATAGGACCCATATGAAAACGTTTAAAGTTATCAAGGTATGTCAGAAGTTTGCAGGAAATGAGCCCATAGTAAGTCTCAAACAGTGTACATTCCTTTCCACTGTTAATTTCCTTCCATGCCAGGGACATTTCAGCATCTGTAGTTTCTGAGGACGTGAAAATAAATTTATAGCAACATCTATTGTAAGTGATGTGCTTTCTCCCAGAAAACCTTGAACTATGGATGGGTACAAGGCCAATGGACTTGGCACAAATCCCTACAAACACATCAGCAGGCACCATAACGGGTACTTCTTTGAAAACTATATACATCATGCGAGCCACATCTTGGGACATAATAAAGGCTTCACCACTGCAGTAATCTGGGTAGTACTTTCCTGGATACTTGCTAAGGGGAACAAATGCATGGCTCTTAGGGTCTCTGTTGGGTGTCTCTTGACGGATAACTCTTCCCACATAGATATCTTCCAGGTGTTCTTTTAGATTGAGAAGATAGTCTACCAAGCTTGGAAGATTGACAAACATCTCTTCATCAATCTTGAGTATAAACAGGGCATTAGGGCAGAAAGTCACAGCCCACTGTGTCATCGCGATGATCTTCAGGGTTTGATTTTCAGCACTGTCCAGGAAGAGGCCTTCAATTATATCCTTGTTTTTATGAGACTCTTTGTCTATTTCTGGCTGGGCAGTTACCAAAACAGGCATTCCCAGGGCAAACAGTGAAAGAACTCGGTGCTCTTGTACACTGGTCAGGTTACCCCAGGTTTTCCTGATGAGGTCACGCCTTGTTCCATTCCCTGGGTGACTGAAGATAAGAGAAAGCAAAAATACGTTTTTCCCTTTACAGATCTCTGGCTGGTTCAGGATATAATATTTGGAAAGATTGCTTCTTAGCGGTTCCATGTTCAACTTTCTGGCTTTATCTTTAATTTCAAGAGCTTTCATGTCGACATAGGGCAAAGTATGTAGAAAGTATTCTTCCACAAAATCAGCCCCAAAAAACAAGGCATGAAATAAGATAGCATTAAATAGAATGAAGCACCACTGGTGAGTTCGAAGTCTGCAAAATGTCACCTAAATATGAAAAGAGCACATGTTCATTTCAAGTGTCATCAACATTCCTGGTTTTGTCCTGTTTTTGTGCTTATCTGTTCACAGCCCTTAGCATTTAGTTATTTCTGGTTTGGGTGCTACACACAGTGATGCTCAGGTGCTACTCCTGGTTCAGTGGTTAGGGGTCACTGCTAGCTGTTCTTCAGAGATCATGTATCAGGGATGGATGGATGGATGGATGGATGGATGGATGGATGGATGGATGGATGGATGGAAACTTGGCCTATGGTGCTCAGGGCTTACTCCTGGCTCTGAGCTCAGGGATCATTCCTGG